AACTGGGTAATACAGACCTACTGCCTTTATTAATTCTTATTTATATTCCTGTAGACTTTCAGGACTCTTAATCCTATTGATACCAGTACTGTATAAAGAGAATAGAAATACATGGTCCAAATTACTGATGGGTGTAGCATTTCCATAGAGCAAAAAGAATGAGAAACAAGGAGGAATTATGTAGGATCAGTAGAAGTGATCTTGGCATACCAGAATCTGACGTACCTTCACTGGTTTTGCTAGGCTTTGTAGTAAGTAAAATCCTACACAAAGAAGGGGAAGAATTTAAAAGAAAACTATATTTTAGATTTATATGTTTCTAGGGAGCTTTTACTAAGTAAATAGGTGATGCAAAGAATCTTGTCTGAAAGGTCTTGCTAGAGCTGAAATCGATGAGAAGTCATAAAATACTGCAACTGAGGGCAAATGCTCTATATACAATGCCCTGGAGAAGAAACTACATCAACACATAGCAGAGTAACATTTTAAGAATGACAGGCAAAGAAAACAACCATTGCAGCAATCTTGGATGTGTCTAAGACATAGTTTTCTTTGTTAAAGCAGTTGAAAGGAGGCTTGCAATAATTCAGAAGTAAGTGCCAAGAGAGAGAGTGTGCGGAAAATGTGGAAAGTTGTAATTTATGATGCCTGAAAGTAAAGTCAAAGACAACACCAAGTAATAGTTATGCTTTTGTCTGAGGGTCATGCTTAAGCTAAATTCATGTCATATTCAGTTGCTAAATTTGAAGTATAATTTAAAATACAATTAATTTCATGTTTGTTCTCTTTTCAAATAGCATAGGCTTGACATTAATGCCTGATGACATTATTTTATCCCACTCGACTGAATCCATCCTTCCATTCATTTTTTTAAGGTGTATCAGTCATCATTTAGGCTTCTGTAACAGAGAAAATTATTATCCTACTAGTGTTTAAAAACTGCCTAACCATATTTGAGTAAAATACCAACATTTACTTCCACTTACATTTCTATCAGGGAAACTCACTTTGTATTCTAGGCACCAAAGAGGACTAGAGGGGAGAATGGCTTTCACAGACTTGCGACCTGCATGAGCATTTGAGCTTTAGGTGTCGGTCTTTGTCCTTAACAGGAATAGTGTATTTAGAATTAAAGACAAAAAGAATGTCCTCAAGTTGCTTGCAGTCACATCAAATTGTTTTCATAAGGGACAACAGCTAAAATAGATTGACAGTAGAGGCAAGTTCTTTCCTGTGTAAATGGTTGTGAAACTTATGCTAGAGGTTGTGCTGCTCATAAATGCAAATACTACATCACCATCAGAGATCCGATGTCACTGTAAAGTCCAGAGTTTTTTGTTCAGCTGGAAGATTGTGAATATTTTCAGTTCAGACTTCTTGCTTTATTGTAGACAAATATGCTACACATCATATCAAGTAAGAAATGCTGTATGTTCAGGATGAAATTCATGTGCTTCATCTTCTGATCCTTGCAAAAAGGAAATAGGCATTAGTCGGCTCATCCGCAGAGTCCTAATCTTGCCTATTCTTCTATCTGTGATCTTTAAGAGCTTCTCATGCTTTAGTAGATAATTTCATTCAGCTTGTACATGTTTTCTGGAAAAATGACGAGCTCAGGTACCAGAATCACCTTTTAAAATGGGTGGTTGCTGGCAAATACTTGATCACAGAGTACTTGAACACCATCAAATTAATGAATGGTTAATTCTGTTATTACCTGTTTCCACTAAGTAGAGCAGATGGACAATGTAGTCAAACCTTAGCCTTGGTTTGATCAATTTGCTTATATTGCATGTGTTGTAATAATTTCTGCCCTAAGTGTCCTTGAAATTAGGCTGTTTACCAAGCCAATATACACTGCGATAACTCTGTAAAGCAGGAGATGGTCAGGCAGCTGATTAAGGAGTGTGAATTCCAGATAGAATTTATTAATGCTTTGATACCTGAAAATATATATGGTCCTGCCTTTTTAATTTTCTTCATCTTACATCTAATTCTTCTGAGCAAGAGCTTGAAGCAATGATTTATATTATTATTTACTTCAAATGATCTTGAAAATTAGTGCAGTAATCAAACATAAGACTTTGTAGAATTTTATTCTCTAGAAAACCTGTCCTGCAGTTGAAATAATTATTGGTTCTTTTACTTAGTTTGAGTAATTTTAATAAATAAGTAGCTGATGCATTGCATAGTACTGATATGACAAACTGGGCGCTGGGCATATAAGCTGACTTACTGATTTTCCTATGAATCCAGCATATTCAAAAAACATGGCAAGTATCATGCACACAATGCTACCATTTTTAAAGCAACTGTATTTCCTCCATTTAATTTCTGCAATTTTTAATAATTCTTACTCTCATTTTTAAGGATGCAGAGCTCTTTAGAGGAGCCATGTAATACTGCAGGTTGGTGTAACATTAATCAGCATCATGCAGTTTAAGTGCAATTTTAGTCATTGTTGTAAGCTGCTATGAGTGATTATTTTTCCTTCACAGTAATGTGAAATGTAAACATGCAGGTAGTATAATACTTCCTACTTCTGGAGAAACTCTAGAAGAAGAACTCATGTTCATGTCCTGAGATGCCCTAATATGCCACAAAACCAAGAATTTTAAACTGACTTTAGAATACTTTGCCATCACAATAAGCTGTTCTGGAGATGAGGAAGATAACATAGAAGTGGTTGTCACTGCTCACCAGTGACAGTATGGTGAAACTGCAGGCAGTATATTTTATGTGTGACATAAAACTCCTACTTCTGACAGCATTTGGCCCTTACAGCTGCTGTGCCACATTGAAAAAGCATGGGACTCAATCACAAAGGCTGGAATGATTTTGCCTCTTTTGTCTACCTTTTTGAGGGGGATTGGGAAAGGACCATCTAGTATTTCTCTCCCCCAGGAGAGAAATTAAACAGGTGTTTTGTGCCAGTGGGTTCTAATTAATAAGCTCATTTCCATTCCAACTTTCTTGCTGTGAGCAGGCAGAACTCTGGTTGTGTCATTAAATCAACATCTTGCCCTGGTTTTCCTGATATGACTGAACCAAAAGATGTCTGCTTTTATATTCATTTCCTTGTTTTACATGGGGTTATTTATTAATTTATTTGCCTACAGAGAAGTCTTCTGCATATTAGCATTTCCCTTGACAGGAAGAAGACCTAAAGAGCACTGTCTGTTTTCTGGGAAGGTAGGATGTGTTAGAGCATCTTCTACCATGTCCTCTTCTCAGTTGAGGCTCAATGGGCTTCTGAAGTGTTTAGCCTTAAGCTGTGTGGGCTGTATTCTTTCTTTTAGACTGTTAATGGAGTCTAGAGAAGCAGAAGAACTTTTAGGACCATTTTGACTCATGGAGGGAGCAAAAGTTCAAGTAAATTCTTTTTGACGTCTATTGTCACAAGACTGAACAGAGAGTTAGAGAAAAACAAAGGCTTAGTACCGAGGACAAGAAAGAAGCAGGAAATGAAACAAAATTATGAGGGACTCATTTGAAGGAATGCTGAGAGCTGTTGAGGTTGGAAGATGAGAATTAATTGGAGAAAATGAGAAGATAATTGGATGAACTTTCTGGAACAGTCTACCAGGGAAATGGAGAAATTATTAATTGAAGTCTTTCACTGAATTAATTGCATGCCTCAGTAAGTACATAGAGAGACAAGATCCAGTTTTTTAAGGACTCTGTGTGGAAAAGGGGTTTCCAATGAGTTAATTTATTTTGCACTCTCTATGTTTTTATTAATGGATTTTGTATTTTGAAAACTAAATTCTGAGATTTCTTCTGAATTTTCTGGAGAGGGTAAGGTAGTTATTGATGTGGGGGACAGAGAAAAAGTTTATGGGAGAAATACAGAATGACTAGAAGAAAGCTCTGTGAATCAAAACATGCTACGCTTAAATGAGAAGCAAGGAGAGATTGCTTTATATTGAATAGTAACTAAAAGACGTGAATAAGAGCTAGATTGGAATAAACCTGCAAGTTAAATGTAGCCTCATATATTTAATGAGATATTTATGCTTTTTTTTAAAAAAGAAGCTGTAAAAATTTGTTTATTAAAACAAAATATTCAGGCAGCACAATTTATAAATAGTGTAAAGTAAATGATACTCTCAATGTATAAAATTGACACTGTTTATTACCTGGCATATTTTAGCCTCCTTTCTCTTTCAGCTGCCCCATAAATAAGCATTTGAATTTGTGATGCTGATAAAGCCACTGTCATTCCAAAGAGACAGGCACCTTCTGGAATTTGGCTGTTGTGCACATGCATGTCCACGTGTATATATGCATGTGCATATATATACACAGCATGAATGAGAAAATTGTTATTTCCTCTGTCCAAGTTTTGAAGATATGGTCCTGTGTATGTGTTCTATTTTATATGGTAATAAGATAAGCAGCAATAATATTGGAAAAGATCACTGAAGGATTCAGAACAATGTGAAAATATCTAAAGTGAGTAAATACTAATTTTACTATTATTTTTAGGCCCTGCAGATAATCCTAAGAAACTTTTCTTTTTTGTATGTCTGTGCTAAATACTAATCTAATCTTATTTCCTCTTTAGTAGTCATTGTAACCTTGAGAAAATTTTTAGGAACAGGGTATTCTGTTACTGGGATTAAAAAATTGTTTTTATCACCCCCTTTGTTTATGCATTACAAATGGGATATGCTCAAATTTTCACCCTCTGTGGGAAAAAAAAAAAAAAACAAACCAACAAAACAAACAAAACAAACCAACCAAAAAAAACCCAACAGAACTTTTAAATCATTCTGCTCACTAATTATTTTTTATTTTGGTGCCTTAATAATTTACCAGCCTGTAAGTACTGACTTGTAGTAATGCTCTGAAATGAAACAGCTGTAGCGTGTTCACTGTATTTACCTGGGATGAATCACTTGATGCCTTCCACACTTCTACAGGAAAGGAGAAACTTCCTCTAAAAACTATGCAAAATGCAGTAGTAACATCTTGGGCATTTGTTTTATTGTTTTCAGGGTGCTGGGTGCACTGCACTGGTGGTAGCTGTGGTGGCAAGGAAGTTAGAACTTACCAAAGCTGAGAAACATGTGCATAATTTCATGATGGACACCCAGCTAACTAAAAGAGTAAGTCACATTTTATATTTACAGCTGAAAAGGAATACTGTGTATTAATTTATTTCTGCATTTCTTTTTAAGTAGTCTCCTGATTGGTATCCTTGCTGAACTTTATCATGGGTATTATTTTGAAAGATTAGAAATTGGATGCCTTGAGTTTTTCTTTAAATCGAGGGCAACTGCAAGTTGTCAGCAAATTTTAGTATTTGTATAGAATATTGTATAGAGGGCCCTTGTACCTGAAAGGTATTTGGTGTGAATGAGTTAAGTAGCAGTTAAGCGCTGTAAAACTAAACTATAGTATTAAACCAAAAGCTTTTGTGTGGTATATGCAAATATATTTTTTGTAGCTAAAATAGCTGAAATGATAGATAAAACCAAAAATTTCAAGCTATGAGAGATGTTCTTAAGAAAATAACGTATATTTTCATATGTTGACAACATATGAACAGTAGCAGTGAGGCAGTCTTTCAACTTCTTTTTGTACATAACACATGGTTTATTTAGTGGTACACAGTACTGAAGGACTGAAAGATATTTGTATATTATTTTTAGAAGAACCTATTTTTTCTCAAAATAAGAATCATTGATATTTGTAAAAATATTTTAAATGAAAGAAAATGCAGCAAACAAGGCAATACAAATCCTTTGCTGAATAAAACAGGTCAGTGTTGAGGGAACAAAAAAATGAGTAGTAGCTGTACAGTCCACTCAACTCGTTCAGTCTTCATTACTGAGAAGAGCCAATGTGGAGACAAAGGTCACAATAATCACAACTCAGCAGACCTCAGCCGAGTATCTCCTTACTGGTGGGTGCAGAGGGATGTCAGTGCCTGAGATGGAGACAGTAGTTCTGCTCCAGGTGAGGAGGAGGGTGTCTGCCCCAGCACTGGTCCATGCAGCACTGCAGCACTGCACTGCCATGGGACTTGTGCTGCAGAGAGCCCTGTCCTATCTCTTCATGCTGTGTTTCTCAGAGCACTACTCTGGCTGTGCTAGTTCTCAGTTCTGTGCTGCTTACCACTAACAGCCTGTATCTCCTCTAAGGAGTCACAGTGGGGAAAGACTATGGATGATTGGGAAGACAGGTCTTATATAGGTATAAAGGGTGACAAGGTGTCTTTCTGAGCTTGTTGATTTACATTCCTACTGGAGTCAGTTAAGGTGTTCATACTAGACCAAAGAAAACAATTTTTCCCTTCCTAACACAGTTAGTTTTCTAGTGTTATCTGATATCTGAGGCCAGAATGTATCTCAGAGATTGGCCAGATTTTTAGTCTAGTCTTTATTTATGCATTTTGAAGTTTACTTTGTTCATCTATTCTTCATATGAATCTCAATGTTAATCTAATACTTTATCCAGGTGGTGCTTTCAGAGCTTTAAACTTGTGAAACTCAAAGCATGTGAAAAGTGAGCCAAACAAAAAAATTCAGAATGTACATCAGATCACAAATCATGCAGATGCTGGGAGCTTTCCTCATAGCCTGATGGTAGCCATACCTTGTGGAAGTGCAAGGGCTATTTAGGGATTGTGAGGAGGTCTTTAAACCATGGTTGTGCTTTCAGTAAAGACAGGAGAAGGTTCTCCAGCACTTACAGGTGCAAGGTAGGGGGGCCTGTTCCTGGGCCAAGCTATTGCATGACATTCCTGCAATGTCTAAGCCATTGACTTAGCTCTGACACTGCAGTTACTGGCATGATGTAAAGCTGGAGGGAGAGAAAATAAAGGTGAATAATTAGGACAATTTTTATTTCCAAGTAACCTAGTCATTCAGCCGCTACTCAATATTACATTCAAATTATTTGTATGTTTTTAAGCATTCTTGAAAATTTTGGAGGGCTTAATAAGAGAACTATAGGTACTCTTAGCATCTTATTGAAAGCCAGATTTAAAAAAAAAAAGTCAAAGCACTTTTTAAATAGAATTCTGCCCACATTAATTGACAACATATTTTTTCATCTTCTTGGAGAATGTTAAAAAAGAAACAAGTATAAAAACTAAATGCCACCAGGGGAAAAAAAAAAAACAAAACAGCTCTGGAATTTTAAAAGACCATTAATGCTAAGAGAATTAAGAAGTGATAACAATAGAACAAGAAAGAGAGAAATATTATGGTCCTATTGAATACACTTAATTAACATACAGATAATGCAATAGTATTTTCTCACTGTAATTTATATTGCCATAAACACCAAACAGTTCCAACTCTTTGAAGAGGGAAAATTATTCCTGGATGCAAAAATACTTGATCTGAACATCACATCTATATAATAAAGGAAACTACTCAGCAGTCCCCGTAATCCAGTTGTTGCTTTCTTCCCTCAGTGCTGCAGCTTCTTGAGGTACCCACTTCCTACAGTTAAGACAGTATTTCAAAAGCTTTAGGAAGAGCTAATAACAGAAAAGTGAAAACATAAGATTATTCTACTTTTGTCAGCCTCTTTTTTTTTCTTTTATTAAACAGGTGAAAAATGCAGCGGCCAATGTACTCAGGGAAACATGGTTAATTTATAAAAACACAAAGCTGGTTAAAAAAATAGACCATGCAAAAGTAAGGAAACATCAACGCAAATTCTTGCAAGCTATTCATCAGTAAGTACTATTTTGCTTACTTTTTCCTCCCAAGGTGTTTTCGCTGTTAGTTTCCTTCTCTCTCAGTCACTCTTAATCCCATCCTGCCCCCTCTCTCCTCTCCCCTCACTATGCCCTTTCCTTCATAGAAGATTGTTCTGGAGTTTTATTTTCTTTCAGAGTAAGACAAAAATAACCATTTACCGTATTATCTGTTTACAATAAAATAAAAAGGTACACTGGCAAGTTATGTCCATATAAACTGGTCAATATTTTTTTGACTTTTCCTATGCTTCTTGAATTATCAATTTTTTTTTGTTCTATGCCACTGAGACCATCCTTTGTTTTTGTGCATTTTCTTCCAGGTAGAAAGATGCGAGCTACAATAGACAGAGGGAAAATTAAAAAAAAAACAAAAAAACCCAACATTTTCTTTGTAGTAGATGTTTTAATATTTTAAAATCAGAATGATGTTGATAGAAGAGAGTATGTATGAAGTGTTTGATGAAAAGAATATTCATCAAGTATCATTTCATAGCCCACCAGCATTTAGTTGCCTCTCTCCACTGCATATTCTCAGTGCACAAGATCAAATGTTGGTATGTCAGCTATAACCCCTGCCATCTCTTCTAGAAAATGGGACTGTATGCCAATAGTTGAGACCATTGAGCACCTCTGGCATTATTCAAATGAGTTCTCCTCTACTTGAGAGTCTGAAAACAAGCCTGAGACCTAAAACTGGTAGTAGGATTAAGCTGTGCTATGGTATTGCCAAACTACAAGTATTTCTCTAAAATTTGCAGTATGTATTTGTCATAAAGCACATCCAAATGAGAAGAATTGCACAATGGTTACTATTCTTGAACTACATGAGAGGGAAAAAAAAACTCAGGAACCTTTTTGTCCTCAGGAACCAGAATTCTTTTGAGGAATGGTCAGTCAGTGCTTGTCTGTTCTATTTGTTATCCCTATTCAGCCTGAGGCAGCCATTTGTATAGCCTATGAAGATAGTTCTCATGAGTTACAGGGAAGAAGTAGATGAATTAAGTTTAATTTCAAACTGATGGTTTCATAACCATCAGTTATAGTGTAGGCCTGTGCCTGAGACAACCAGTGAAGAGCTGTGAGGGAAGCATCTATGATGAAAAGAACATCTATGTAGCATCTTACAGGAAAGACAGGAAGGACAGTCCAGATTTACTCATTTTCTATTAGCAAATTTACACTAACAATCTTTCTCTCTTTCATAATTTTAAAGTAGTAAGTAGCTAACCTTAAGCTGTGAAGTACACTGTAAACCTTGATTACTGTATTATGTTTAGCAAACTTGCAAATTTAAATGTTACTGTGTCATTGTGGAGATACTTAGAGGAATAAAAAGACAACAGAAGTTGAGGCATTTTTATGTGACTATAAAAAGTATATTTGTATATAGTAATTTAGACATCCCGCTTAGCTTAAAGGATTGGGAGGTGGAGGGGAGTGGAAGGGTTCTGGGAAGAGGATAGCATGTCATGTGCATCTTTGCTGGACTTGAATCCTTGATTGCAAAGGTTGTGCCTTAATATTTTAACTTTACTGTTGATTTTGTGTGTGTGTTTGTGTGTCTTTGTGTGTATGAGCACATATGTTCAGAAAAGAATCTATAAAGCACAGCAGGCTCGATCTCCAGCTTTTTTTATCACTCAAGCTCAGAAGAACTTTTCAGGGTGTAAAGGGTGTTCTGCACCTCCCTTAAAAATTAATTAATCAGGTGGAGGGAAAAAGGTGGCATCAGTAATTTTTTCCTAGGTGTGACAGCTAGGTTGCACAACTATCTTAATAATTTCTCTCTTTTACCACTTTGCACTACAGCCCCAAAACTTTTCAGGAAAGCAAACAAAATAGAATTTTTCCAATATGCTGAAGATACAACATGAAAAAATATTGCACTAGCAATTTGCTTTCTTCTTGTAGCTGATTAGACAGATACAAATTAATTTTTCGTCCCTTTGCATCTTTGCACTTTTTCTCAAGTGACTTATGGTTTTCCATCTTTCCGGAGTCTTAAGTTTTGTTTGGTCCCTCTCCTTCACCTTCCAACCATTTCATTGGACACAAAAATAAAAAGAGTGGCAATTCAGGGCCAATTTCATAAAAGAAACCAGACTTTATCATGATGATAGTCATGGTCACAGCTCTGAAATGTGTTCAGCTGGTCTAGGTGTTCTGCTTCTCATGCACATTAGATAAGATGAAGGTAAAAATCATAAAAAGGCATGTTATGTATTGTATGAATAAGAAAATCTACGGATGATAGTTAATGGGAAGGCTTGAAGGTACTGCAGATTCCTTCATAATGAATGTGAGTTAGACTCCTCCTCAGGCAGCTACTGATCAAAAGTAGCAACTCCCTAGGACTTTTCACCTGCTGAATCGAGCCCACTGTGCTCATTGGGTTGTTTTAGTATATTTTACACTTTGTTTTCTTTTGTTTTGTCTTTTTTTCCACAAAATGAAAATAGAGCTCGGAAGTAAGTTGTACAAGCTGTTCCTTTTTAAACTTGCAGAATTTACCACTCTCTGCATGCAAAAAATAGAGTTTTTATTTGTGAACTTCAGTGGTCTGATTGTTGCCATGGAAATGCGATCCAGAATCATGATCTTTTTCTGTGATAAGTGAAGTTCATAAAATCAAAATTTTATCTTAATGAATTATACTAAGAAAGTCTGTTGGTTTTCTTTAAATCCGGCTGCTGCAGCTAAAGACTTGCCATATCTTTACATTCTTACAGCTTGTGGTAGGTGTTGACTTGGTTACTATGAAGAATTACCATGTTAGTGTCAACTGGTACTTGTAGTACTACAATAATAATGAACTTCCTGGAATTTAAAATTAAAGTCCTGATTGTCAAACAGATGACTCAGTGAATCTTAAGAAAAGCAGAAAGCACATATTCTGCAAATTATTTGAGAGAATGGTCATCAAAACACTAGGGTTTTCTTTCTCCAGTGAAATAATTTCCTTTGAATAATTATTCTGTTCTGACACTGTGATTATATAATTCTGTACCTTGGAGACTCCTATATATTTTTTGCTTTAGAAAACTCCACCTTGTAGCCTCTGAAAATACCATTCATACCATCTGCATCTATGCTGTGCTCTGAAAGAAGCTTCCAGGGAAAGAAGAGCATATGGCATTCCAGTAACAACCTCCTGGAATGCCAGTTTTATGTGATCAGTTAATTTCTACCTTAACATAGTTATTTCCATTTATTTTTTAAAGATATTTTTAAATGATACTTCACTCTCCACAACTTACTTTCTCATACCGGTTAGATTAGATATGAAAGGAATTGCTTGTAAACTAAAGACATGAAATAAAATTTATGGTTTTGGACTACCTTCAAGGTTTTCTTTAAACTAGCTTTCTAAGTAGTAACCTCACTGAGAAATGGGCAGAGAATGCATTAGCAACCCACGTGTCACAAAATGCAGCCATACTTACTTCCATTTGACAGCTAACCAAATTGTAACTTTGGTTGGCCCTTGGCAGACCGGTAGACTGAAGTGGTGCCTTATCACACATTGTATATAAATTGATACCTTGGTTTTGCAAACCCTGCTCTAGAACACCCAGAAAAGCCATTGAAAGTCCAGGTATGGATCTATTATGAGATGTTGAACAAATGAACTAAGGGAAAAATTGCCTATTTGTGAAAATCAAATCTACAAACCACTCCTCTAGTAGGTAATCTGAAAACATGAGGTTCATATCAGAGAATGTATACAAAGGGTCACGTATCTTGCTAAAAATGTACATAACCAACAATAATGCAGATAGGTAAACATCAAAGAAACAAATATACCTTTGCTGCTTCTTTCTTAGCTTTTCAGTACTGTAGTTTAAATAGTGCTTTGAAAAATAATGATGTCAATTTAAAAGGTAATCATATTTAGATTCACAAATTATCTGAAAAAACCAAATGTATTGGCAAGCATGCTGGTTATTTAGCTGCTGGTCTGATGGAAGTTCTGTTTAATGTAAGGAGAAACTCACTTATCACTGTATGTTCATCAGGTTCCAACACCTGCTAACCCAATCCATTTCCGACAGAACAGGGCTAGTACCTGTATCTAGTCATGTAGGTATGGGAAGATTCTTGATTACTAAAACAATAATGACCAAAAACTGTTGTTCTATGTTTCTTCCTATATCTACTTGTCACGATACTGAGGCTTTGAGGAATGTTTTGGCTTTCTTTCATGTAGTCTGGATAAATTGTTATCTTCTTTTTTGAATTCAACTTTGACCATGGCAAATGGTATTCTCAAGGACATCACATTTCCTTGCTCTTTCCTTTTTTGCGGTGTTGAAGAAGCATGCTTCTCATTGTAGCAGGCACATTAAAGATTCTGACTCTACACAAAGTAGTCAAGGCATTGTCCATGCAGTTATTTGCTCTTGTAAGTTTTGTGCATGCTCTCTAGAAATCCTAGTATGACCTCATACAAATAAAAAAATTTGACTTAAAATTCCACTTTTTAGATTAAGAAGTGTAAAAATGGAACAAAGGAAACTGAATGATCAAGCCAACACTTTGGTGGACCTGGCAAAGGTTAGTAGGCAGTTACTGTTGTTTCAACATTCATCGTTTCAAAACGAACAGTTTTTAAGTGAAAATATTATGCATTGTATGTGCAAATATTGTTAACAAGGTGTTGTATGTAGCAAATGAAAATATGTGTGTGTTTTTTGGTAGCACCTACATCCTGAAAAAGAATCCTGATGAAAGTTTGAATGTGCCATATTTATTTATGGTTTTTTTGTACGTTTGAAAAAGACTTCACAGTTGAGAGGCTGATCCTGAGAGCTCCTGAGCTGACTGCAGTGGTCATGGTAAATGCTGAGCTGTGAGCGGGCTGTAGTGGTGTAGTGCTGTGAAGTAAGAAGATTTGCCATGTGGGGATAGTGACTGTGTCATGACAGACCATTGTAAATAGCCTCTAGACTGGAGTTAGAGGTTCTGGATTCCTGTTCCTGTTGTCTTATGCAGCAGTAACTTCGGACAAGTAAATTTAGATCTGCATTTATTTAAGTTTTTATAGGGAATAACAGCTGCCTGCTTTGATAATATACCATAAGTCTTTTAAAATCTTTTTTAAACCATTAGAGTTGAAGTAAAAGAGACTATTCAGTTGTGAGCTGCTTGTTTGCTGTTGCTAATATTTTTCATAAATATTCCGTTTTTATAAATTAGAAAGTGAGAGGTCTGGGCTGATAGCATTTTTGATTTCTCATTGGAACTTAATATTTAACAGTTACTGTGAGCTTAATTTGAGGCTACATTAGAAGCATTAATGGGCTTTTCCTAAGGGTTTCTTGTACACCTCTTCATTTACCTCAAAATTCTCCCCAATTTCAAATACATCAAAGCAAAGATTAAACTCTTCAGTGTTCATTCCCCTCTTGCTTTACAGAACCACGTGACAATCTCAGGTGAAAATACAATTCAGTCTAATGCTTTTGGCAGCTAATAAGGACTTCTAATATACTATTTTGTGCAGACTACTTCACTTTCAAGGGTTATGCTAGCATCCTAAAATAAGAGGCAGAGCAGTAGGTTATAATACACCTGATACTGAAGTGGTTTACACTTCAGGCATTCATTCAATTAATTTGCCATTCCTTTGGATTGTTCATAAATTTCAACTGATTTTTTTCAACTGAATTACATCCAGTTTTGACTGTAGTTTAAACAATCTGAAGCCTCAGTCTATAAGAGGCAGACATTCAGCCATTATTTTTTCACCAAGTCTCTATGAAACAACACATTTCAGATTACATTTTTACTGACGATTGTGTCATTTTAAAGTACACTCTATATATTTGCTGTATTCCAGCAGTGTTTTGTAGAGGCCAGATAGACTGGAGAGTGCAAAAGTAGAAAAGCATATGATTGAGTTTTTACTCCTTGCACTACTTTTCAAAAACAATCCACTGAATTCCTCGTATTGCCAATTCAAGAAAATCTACTCAGTTTAAGGAGCAAGCCAGTGAACAACATTTTTGCTCCACTTAGAAGAATGAAGGTATTTAAAACCAGAATCAAAAACACTTAAGGATGGAGCACATCAGTGGAGCTTTCAGTCCCCTGGTGGCTTAGCCTGACTGTTCAAAAAGCTTAGCCTGGTACATTCCCAAGCACCCAAATTTCCAAAAAGGGTCTGGTCTTTAATTGATTTCAACTTCAACGTCGAAAGCGCTACTAAAGGGCATTATGTTTCTGCTCAAGAAATCTAATAGAAAGGTTAGTCTACTGTAATTTAATCTATAGGAAAAATGATTTCACAAAACTAGATACTGTTATAATACTCATCCTGTTTTACAAACCCTTGTAGAGTTTTTCTACTTGTTACAATACGTGTAAGGTCTTTCTAAACCTTTACTTACATCCTTCTACTTTCAGACTCAAAACATCATGTATGACATGATTTCTGACTTAAATGAAAGAAGTGAAGATTTTGAGAAGAGAATTGTTACTCTGGAAACTAAACTGGAAACTTTAATTGGTAGCATTCAAGCTCTTCCTGGACTGATTAGCCAGACAATCAGCCAGCAACAGAGGGAATTCCTCGAGGCTCAGATACAAAATTACGATAAGCGTGTTGCCTACAGTGCTGAACGATCACGATCTTTGTCAAGAAGAAGGAGATCATCCTCCACAGCACCACCAACTTCATCAGAGAGTAGCTAGAAGAGAATAAGTTAACCGCAAAATAAAGACTTTTTGCCATCATATGGTCAATATTTTAGCTTTTATTGTAAAGCCCTATGGTTCTAGCCAGAGTTATCTGGGTTCTGATGTCAGAATCCTGGAAACCTGAACACATTTTAGGCCAAAATGAGTGAAAACTCTTCTTTTTTTCCCCCCTCCTCCTCTCAGATGCACAGTGAATGCACCTAGTATTGCTATATTAGATTGTTCTTCCTGTAATTTCACTTTTTATTCATGCACTTCAAACAAGCTTTACTACTACGATACATAATCTAATATAATAATGTTAATTTCTGCACATAATTACTTGATTACTTTGACCTAACAACCAAAAAAAAGATCACAATCAAAAGACCTAATTATGAACTTTTAAGAAACTAAATTAAAGCTTAATAATTATTTCTAAGAATGAAAGCTAACTGTCTAAACTTTGCTTGCAGTGGAGGGGGAAAAAAACCAATCTTAATCTTAAACAGTGTGCTGTAATATGTATAGTCATTTTAAAAGGTCATGAACAGCTTTGATTTCTGAAGTGATTAATTAAAAATATAGTTTATCCTAGAAAATAAGTCTCAGAGTAAGCTATGGGTTTTTTAAGTATTGTTAGGGCTTTTATTTAACATGCATTGGTACACATACACACACACAAAGATAATATATATATACATATGTATTTATGTATATAAAATTATTTATGCAACACCCATAGCAATGATCTTTTAAACTGACTATTCGTAAAGCTACTGGCATGCAAAAAGCACAGGCAAAGTCCTGTTTACTTATTTAGAGTCTCATAAAAATGCCAGGTGCGTTTGTCCAGATCAAAAGCATCACTTTCACCCACAAGTCTCCTAATAATGCTATTTGGGTTTTGAAAGTGTTAGGTTGCTGCTTTCTCCACTCCTTTCTTTGTGTTTCTGGAGTGAATGACTGACACACAGACTTACAGTACACATGGTTGTGTGATGGCAGCACAGTGTTCTGTATACATTATGTTTGGGCAATTCCTATGGTTCCTGCTATGCAGTCAAGCTTAGCAAAATACTTCTAGCAATATTTCCAAAATCTCCTGTAAAAAGCCAGCTGTAGACTGGAGTTACAACAGTAGGGTATCTATAGTACTTTATTTTCATGCATAAAAAGAAGGTCTCTTACTTTTTTAAGGAAAAAAAAAAAACCACAAATCACAAAGCGTAGTCACCAGTAGGCACTGGTGAAAAGGTTTTGACTGGCATTTCTCCTGGTTTATGTTCCAGAATAGCAAAACTAGGTAAGTTTAAATGCTTAGTACATACGACTTGCATTAACAATTCCTAGTTACAAACAGGAAATTAGTTGACTTTATGAGATATTTTTTAGTACTTGCTATTTATGAAATGTGCCAGTCCAGTCTGCTTCTCCCCCAGTTTACAGCCAAGGGTGACATCTGTAGCTAAAAAAGTAGACATGGCTGACTTTCTGTCTGCCTAGAGGTAACCAACTTGTTACCTCTTGTTGAAGGAATTGAGGAAATGTACATTGCTCCATGAAACACTGTGACTTCTGGTCAGCAAGGACAGGCAGGAAAGAGTAATGCAGGAAGTCAGGGCAGAGCCCTTCTGGGAAAGACAGAAGCTTTCCAGCAACCAGAATTCCCCTAACCAAATACATAATCTGAAATCAAACAGCAGACACTTTAGGCCTATTCAAATTAAAGGATCTTCCTTTTCTGGTGTTACGAATGTATAAATGATAAATGTATAAGTGACATCCAGAGGTATTGCATGCTTATTAAAAGATCAAGAATTTCTCCAATTTTTTATGTCCTTGAGAAAGATGATGACTTCAGTATTTTTCCCCCTAGAGCAAGACAGTTGCATGCCTTTGGCGTGCCTTATTTACAGACTGTGGTATTATGTGACTGGAAATAACAAGCAGTATGCATAGTATTTGCAGTTCTGCTTTTGTTTTTATGGAGATCATTTTCAAAAGAAAAGGTGGATATTATACAGTCCTAATACTTTTCTAATGCAGTCCTTAACTAGGTGAGATTGTGAGTGGTCATAAGGCCAATAGTAATTAATAATATTGGAATTTAATAGTCAAGTTTTAGAAATCTTTTTTCTCCTTTTTTGCATTTAGTTTAGAGTACTTTTCTTGACATTGAATGTGAAATACACTTTCTGTAGCTTGAATGCATTCCTTTTTCTCCTGTCAGCTTGAACTAGCTCTTTCATTGTTTACATCTTTTTAATATAACACCCATTTTTTTGCACAACCGGGTTTTTAAAGAACTGTAGCTCCATTTTGAAAATTTTTGTCAATCTGTCAATTTTAATTAAGATCCAGCTGCAAGTATTGAGCTGGCTATTTCTGTTGTGAAAGAGCAGCTGTCAATCTTTGACCTCTCCATTTCTTTTACTCACTAGGACTCAGAAGTCTGAACCTAATATTATTGCCACAGCTTTATACAATGGTGAGATTCATCAGAATTATTTCCATCAGTAGCATTCTGTAACAACCTGCCAAATTATTTTGGATTCCTTTCTTTCTTTTTAAAGCAAAAAACAAATTATGTCACCATGTTATACTCCAGTTCTACATCTTAATTTACCTTCAAGATCACTATAGATATTTTATCTGCATTTTCAGCACATATGATTTTTTCTTGTAATATCTGATTTCAGCACTAAGGTGCTGCATGGGGATACAATACATGAAAGGACTGATATAAACTTTTATTCAGGAGAGCACAAAGCACTCTTGGTTTGATTTTCTTACTCTTGACACTAAACTCCTTTTAGTCTTCCCTTGTCTGACTTTTGTAGTACCACAAACTCCATTACTGAATTTTTAGTTCTAAAAGTTTAGCTCTATCATTGTCAACATATATAATCACCAAAAGGAAAACATATCATTAAGACAAATCGTGGAAACTGTATATTTAAATGTAGACTTTTCTTGTAAAGATTGTTTACAAATGACGAGTCTTTCTCAAAGCATATGGCATATTTACCATATTGTAAAGCTTCATGCACCTCTTGCCTTAGTTTCACCATTAGGAAAATTCTGCTTTCAGTTGCTATTAAACTTACACTACATTCCAGACACTGATTTCATTTATAAGTTTCTTGGGAGTCTTGTTGCTAGTCTGCTTTTGTAAAGACACCGAGCAAAGAAAACTTGCTCGGGAGGACTGAAATGTAACATCACAAGTAGACCTGTTCACTATGCTTAAAATAAAATGCATTGATTTAAATAGTACTTTTTACTTACATTTATGTTTTTTCCAGAATCAGAATAATACATTAATATGTCTTATGCTTGCAAGTACTCTGCAATTTTTGATTCTGTAAATCATTATGTATTTTAAGATTTTCCAGATAGACTTGTGCAACTCAGCTTTTCTTTACCTCCTGTTGCTCCATAAGGATGTATCTAATATGGAAGGAGATTTACTATCTAGAAGTTTTGCATCCAGCTTAGGAGCTCTAAATGCCTTCTGGAGGTTCATACCTTGTGAGCTATTTCAAAACTATAGCTACCCAGACTGAATTGGAATCACTGTCATCATTAGAGCAAACATAAGTGATAAGTATACTGTTTTACAAATTGTAAGACTCTTTCCATGTCAGATCATATGTAAACATTCAAGCCAATATGCCACACATTAAGAGCATATCTAAGCATAAGAAAATAAAAGGTGTGCAATGTGTCTAAAATTCAGAATAAAATCTGTAACCCTTATCAATACTAAAAATTTAAATTGTTTGTAAACTCTTTTCCCCTAACAGTTATGAAAAAATTCTTACTAAGCTTTATCCACAGAAGGTTTTCTGATTAATGTGTGTTCTCCCCATCTGTCAAACTGTTTGTTCATATCCATTCTAATTTTTACATCAAAGTCCTTAAAGGCTTTTTGTCCTTTTATTAATAATTATTAAGGGGTGACAAAATAATTATAAAGGGGTTACAACCAATGAAATAGAGGGGAACGTAGGAAGGAGCTAACACTTACGTATGTCATTTTCAGAATTACACCACTGCATCAGCATATCTAAATGCTCAGGTAGAAATGCACACAAATTTTAGCCAGCTCTCCTGACTACCCAGGTCCAAGCCAGCCCTAGCCTGGGAAGAGCACTGCCATATCTGAAAAGTTCTGAGATGGAGCTTACACGCACTCAAAGCAACTATTTATGTGTGTGGAAATTAATGTCCACAGAACCTTATATGTGCATAATAAAATTAACCTACAGCTGTCAGTTAGGACTTACGAATGTGATCATGTATCTGTTGGCACAAATTCAGTGAAAATTAAGCTATAATGTATATTAGCCTTTTTATTCTGAGCATTTTAAGAGGTATCTGTAAGATCTTACCTCTCTCCATGACTTAGAGAATAAAGAAAAAGAGACACTTAGATGATGCTTTGCAGTCAGGAGTGAATAGGGCTAACTCTGACTTGCCTGAGTGCCTCATTGCACATCAGTTTTGGCTCAAAAACCACAGGGTTTTATTCGCTCCAGAAAGAGCAGATTTCTCTCACTATAGAGGGAGTTATCACAGCACTGAGCAAATAAGTCCCATCTCTCAAGAGCAGCTCAGTGTGCAATATGAGCATAATGAATAGGAAAGGAGAATTGTGATAATTTATGCAACTATGCTCAAGACTTACAGCTTAGCACAGCATCAAGCCCAATGCAGACACTTGATTCCCTGCCAAGAATTGCAGCTGGACAGTACAGCACATGGCTGGAGCAGGTGGCAGCATGGTCCGGACTAGGGTATGTAGACATCCTAAAATGGAGGCAGTTACCAGAATTAGCATCACCATACTGCCATGAATTAGACTTTGTTACAGTGATATAGTTGAAGATCTATTAGATAAATAAATTTCAGACCTTTATGTGAAGAAGATTCCCTTGCAGAGGATTGCAAAACTTTTCTGCACATTGAAGGATATGCAACGCAGTGTCAGTGAAAGGAAAAAACATTAGCCACGGTCTTGAACCTGTTGTGAACTAGCATGGCAAGTAACAAAATTAGATGGAGAACTGAAGCTTTGTGCTGACTTCCCTTTCATTCATATTCACTTAAATCCATTAGTGTCTTCAAATATTTAGGAGAACCTATACTGTTTTCAATTATACATGAAGTGAGCTACAAGCTTTTAGTTAGATTAAAAGGTTTTACTTTAAGATTATGCCTATTCTGACCTACTGTTCCCTTTCTAACCTGAATTTCAAAGTACCTGAGTCCAAAAAGGACATGCATATTGTCCTATGTGGATTACAGCAAACTAGGTCTCTGAACAAAAAAGCATTTTCAGTCCAGATAAATGACCAACCATCATATAGCACTAGGAATAATAATAGAATTAAAATGTTTGATTCAGAGCTTAGAAAAAGTTTAAGTGAAGCCTCATTCCATATATGACTTTCATGGGGATCAATGAAATATGAGAGACTGCGCAATTATATTTCCTGACAATGAATTATAGGGGTATACTGTATATGTTCAATACCAGCTTATAGCCTTATATGGAGAGGTTCTCCAAATGTGAGTAATATGAAGACTGATTGATACACAAAAAATAAAGCAGGATTTTTTTTTAACAAAGAACTCCAAATTCTAATAGAAATGTGTAGGTCTGAAAGAGATTGTGCTAGACTATTCTCTTACAAGGCCCCTAGCTTCCATCGGCTAATATAAATTGCAAGACATGAGGTTTCAAGTGGTTTCGAGCAAAATTTTTAAAAATATATATATATCAGGAATAGTTTGGAACTTACAAAACATCACTGTGTTTGTGCTCAGTACCAAAAATCTCCACAAAATGAAATGTGCCAGATCAGTTTTCCTGATGGAGGAGTTAGAATGATAATCACATGAGCATACATGCATGTAGGAGAACAAGAAATCTTTCTTGGAACCACTCCTTAATTTAACCTTCAGTTTCAAGTAGTATGGCACCCTAGGTAGAATAATAGTAACAATTAGAGCTCCAGTTTGTTTGTTGTTTTTTTATCCTAACACTTAGCACAAATTAATGCATTTTGGGTAAGAGGCCTCTGAAGGGTGCGTGCTGTTGTTGCAGCACACTCTCAACCTTTTACTCTGTTTATTCCTCCAGCAACCGCTGAGCACTGAGAATTGTTGTTGCCTCTGTCAGTATACCTGGTACAAAGTTGCCCAGACTGATTTGAAAGGAGGTAGCCCTGGGGCACTTGAGAGGCCACTGGCCCAGTGCCTGTTACTGGAGAGAGCAGATGGCAACGCCCAACCTGAAGCTGGCCATGGCCCCTCAGTGGGGCAGCAGACTATAACCTCTGTTCTTCCCCCCACACCACTGTATCACTACATTCCTCTGTTTCTTAAATGCTCTAATAGACTTAAAATTGCTTTTCTTATCACATCTAAAATGTGATAAGCTGTCACTCATTGGGACAGGCTCACAACTACTGATGTGAAGAACAAACTACTACTGTGAAGAAACCACAGGGTCTGCTTCTCCACTGTGGGCAAGGACAGCGCTGTGCCACTCAGCAGGACTCTGTATGACAATGACCTGCTTTCTAGATAGAAACCAACAACATTCCACCAGCACCAGTTATCAGTATTCAAGGGGCATAAACATTAGAAAAGTGTTCTGGTTTGGCAATGAGATTTGGAATCTTGGCTTCTCCATAGTTAAAATTAAATCTACTTAAAAAAAAAAAAAAATAGGAAAAAATAGCAAAAGAAGAGATGTCAATTAGTCCAGTCTGTGTTGGCTGGAGTTCAGTCTCACTTGTGCTGCGTGGTTATGAGACAAAAGTCTTGTAGATTCACTCCTAACCATGCAAGTTCAGAAAACAGTCCCAAGGCTGAAATGTGCTAGCAAACCACTTAGTTTCACTGCCTTTCTTTGAAACAGAGCTTTCAGTCACTGTGGCTAATAATGGTGGATCAAACACATCACAATTCCAGTGGTTTCAACATACTTGAAAGCACTTCCTTCTGTAGAGCTCAGTACCCTTACATTGACCTGAGGCTGCTCAGCTGGCGCTGCTGCCCAGCCAGTTCTGCAGACCTGACAGAAAACATCTCTGCCTGTTGCCTGTTGCTCAGGACATCACCCCCAGTCAGGTATGCATAGAAGCTCTTTGATGATTTCCCAAGCTACTTTGGAAAATAATGGAAGAACAGCTGGAAGAGTTTCTTTCCTTTCAGACTTTTTAGTTGCAATCTACACACAGAGGAAGATGTTCAGTTATCAAAAGCGCAGTGGTAGGAATTTGGGTCATATTTTTTTCAGTTTTCAGGTTCATAAAATGAAAAAAAAAATTGAACATAAGAAATAGATTGCTTTTCCAGAGCTTATATATTCAGGGTTATATTTCCTGCCTTTCTACGCTGTTTTATCTAGCCTTTAAAATGCATTTATTAATTCAGTTGTACTTACGTTCAGTTTGAAGCAATTACTGTAATAGAGCAGCATGAATATACATGCATTTCCAGAATTACAGATACTCTTCAGTTGAAGGGAAACAGAAGAGAGATGGGCAAAAAAGCATGTAGGATTTTCAAAACATTTTTGCAATGAATTTCAGAGAGGCAAAAATAGGACAGAGAGGGTGTGATCCTCAGCCCCGCTAATAGTGGTCTATGGATACATCTGGGTTGTCCCTTGAAGATTATGCCCACATCTGCCATGGAAAGGAAATAGGCCATATTTGCAGACAATGCAAGAGTCTGGTGTCTGGTAGCAGCACAAGAGAATCTCTTTGCTACCAACATTTTGCTCGTGAACCTCTACTTCTCCATCAGGTTTCTGCTCAGAGATCTGCAGCTGTAGTATACATTATTCATAACAGACCAAAAAAAAAATATATATAATTGGAGAAAATATTTCTTATGTGTGTATGAAATGGCCAGAGACTCACTGGTGGTGTTTGAATACACAATTCAGGGTATGAAATTCTGCCCTCTGTGATTCATGTGATTTGCTCTGCAAGGAGCCACAGAGTAGCACGCCTCACACTTCTCAAGTTTCACAGTTTTTTGAACAGTCCTGGCTCAGCTCAGCTGAGTGCATGAGAAATGCAAAAGGCTGAGCAGCACGACTGGGTACAAAGCAGCTGCACAAATGAGCCCAGAAAAGAGTGTGGTGATTTGATTTTGTGAATGAAGAAACATTTTCCCACAACTCTGTTTAATTCACTTAAAGAGAGCCAGAAGCTTCCCTGCATGTGTGTTTTTCTTCCAAATAACTTCCAAGATGACTGTCAAAAAATCATGATAGAAATAAATTTTTATGTGGTAAGCCCTGGCATTTCTGCTAGATAAGTCTCATATGGAATGGAAGTCTCTGAGAACAATGAAGTTATTTATCCAAAGTAATTTGTAGGGAATACCACTGTTTTCACTGAGATTTGATTTCTAACCCATCAGGCATGGATGTACATCACCCACACCTGTAAATAGACATTTCCTTTTATTTTCAGGCAGGTGAGGAGAGAGGAACATTTGAATTAATGCCAAAGCAGGGTAGCAATGACATTTGTAGGAAAAAGATACTTTTTATTTCTGGAAGGTTTAGATGCCTAATTTTCTCTGTGTCCTCAGAGGACTGAAGTATAAAGACACTTAGAGCAAGCACCAGTAAGCAGATTTCTTCTCCTCCTTTCCAGGTACATGCAATAATAGCTACCCATTCATCAACTTCATTCTTTCAGTGACAGGATACTCTCCTTGAGAAAGCAGGAAAACTGGGCTCAGATCCTTGTTGGAAGTAGTAAGCACGTACTTTCCTACAGCCTCTTTCTTGTCTTATTGTCTGGGAAGAACCCTGGGCAGCTTGGTGCTTATCTTCTTCCTCTGTAAGTCAGAGACAGTCTGAACTTCTGCTATCAGGCAACTGTGCAAGTGTAACATAGCCAAGAAAACATGAAGCTGTTTCTGGTGGGGTTTGAAAGTAAACCAGACAGAGACCAGGTCAATGATGCAAATGCCAGACAGTGTTTGAGAATTAATGCTATTTTTAAATACCTCTTGTGAAGTTAGTCCTGGGCTCGTCCTGTCCCCAGTCTGGTATGGTGGGAAAGAAAGACGTGTTTAAAAAATAGCCTACAGCATTTTTAAAAGAAGAAAGAAAAAGATAATTACTTTAAAAGTTCTTCTATAACAGAAAGAATGAACAAAAAATTTTTTTCCAGAAATAATGGAATAATTTGGCACTTGGGAGACTAATCCCATAAGGAGCCAGAATTAAAAATCAGCAGTTTCACCAGCTGCCCTATCAAGTTCTGTGCTTTTGCTTTCTGATATTTAAGTGCAACTTACTTTTTCCCCTTAATATATTTTTTCTTCACTTAATGTAAGGTGTTTATACATTACTAGGTCTTTTCCTTCACTTCAGTAACAGAAGAGTACTTCTCCAGATTTTGTTTGAGGTATACAAAATCACATTTGTTTACACAAATATGTTAATCTTGCAGTTACCTTGGTCACTCTGCTCCAAACTATGTGACATCCATCACAGAATTAAATAGAAAGCAGCATAATAAAGCAACAGGCTCTTGAAATCAATAGGTGCAGTACACTCTTCTCTATTTACTTTATTTCTTTATTAGGAATATTGTAGATCTGTAATCACAATAACGTAAGATAAATTTACTCTGGTTAGAAAAGATTGGGGTTGTCTTGCATTTAGGGTGTCACTGAACACAGTGAGACAATTCCTACTCTCTCTCAAATGCATTTCAGTCTATGCAAGTTTAAAAGCATGGGGGAAACTCACCCATGAGAAACTATAATGGAATTTCAAGGTTTCAATCTAGACTGGACCCCTAAGCTCACAGGCCACCTGCTGCCCTACCAGTACTTCTACCAGCAATCTTTTGACAGCTCTCTGCTAAGCATGCAGGATCTGCATATCACATTTCAAAAAGACATCACCTTTCAGATACATTGCCTGCAAATCCTTGACACAACCTTGGCAGTCAGGGTCACACAGGATAAGCAAAGAAGTACACAAGTCTCATATAACCAAAGCTTTTGTCACAACAGTTCCTGCCTTTCTTTCTTGGTTTTTTTTCATGGTTGAGTTTTTTTTTGTGGGGAGGATGAGTTGAGTTGGGTGGGGTATTTTAGTTAAAAAAGGTTGATATGTCATAGTATTAATTTTATTTGTACAATTTTACTCTGTATTGAGATAGTGCCTTTGGCCCATGATATCTTTTGTTCAAAGTAACCTCTGCAGCTCTATCAAGTTATTGTGCAAAAAATCTGAAAACTTTTATTAAGACTCTGGATTTCTATGCTCCTCATTATGTAGTTTTCCTTTCCTTATTATGTTGGTTTGAAGGTTTGAAGTATCTCTGTACATCCAATATGACTTCCTTGGTCACAGCAACTGACCTGGATGGGTACCAAAGACCATAAAAATTTGAAGGCTGTACTCTATCTAGCATTAAGAAAGCAAAAGAAAAAACTAATGATGTAGACAACTTGTTTACAAGATTTAAGATGCAAATAATGCATTTCTAAAATTAATTTATTTGAATATTTAATCTTTGGTATTTTTCTTCTGTTCCTAAATTCCTGAGAGTTTCTGCAATTTCTGTATTTGCTTTGGAACTCTCACTGAAGAACTTCTGTCCTTAGAGTCTTGCACAGTTATTTCCCCCTGAGAGAAGGCAGCCAGATTATAAACAAGTGGCAAACTTCTGCGGAGAAGTCCACAGAGGCAAATACAAAAATGCTTGTAGCAACAGATGAAGCTGGAAAAGGAAAGAGAGGAGTCCATGTTGATTAAAAGTATGTTACTATTTAGACAGAATAATATTGGAAAATCCTTTTGTGATGTATGGATCTTCCTTACAAATACTTGTAAGTTTTAGTATAGCTGTGATACAAAGAAAGAAGGGGACTTCTGGCCATAGCTGGGTCTTGCAGATGAATAGATGCAGAATGTCACCTTAATCAAATGGGAGCTCTGACAGACACTTCTAAACCTCAGCACTCTTCCAGCTCATGCCTCGCTGGATCTGCATGGCTGGTGACTTTACCAAGCTTCAGAGAGCTGTTTTTAGCTAGATTGCTACAAATAAGAAAAAAGTTGTTACTACTTTTTGTCTAAAAGACTAAAATGTGTCTTTGCAAGAAAGTTGGTGCAAGATTCCAAAACAGTCAGGATGATCCCACTGTCTTCTTATAGAAAAATAAAAAACAAGAGAGAGAGAGAGAGAGAGAGAGAGAGAGAGGGGGGGGGGGGGGGGGGGGGAGAGAGAGAGAGAGAGGAAAGATCCTAAATACTCTACAAAACTAATTAAAAAACCAACAAAACCCCAAACTCCAACCTATCCACCTTTCTCCAAACATATCACTCAACATGCTCCACATAATTCACAAATACTGACAAATAAGCATTTCCTTGAGTGGAGAAGCCATAAAATTTGTTGCCCAATAGAAACTGTCTGCAGATCCAGCTCTTGCAAGGGTGTTGCCACTGAAATGGCTCTTCCACAAGCAGTGTAGTAATAGATCCTCTCTTTCTCCGGCTGCTAACATCCTAGAAGTTTTAAAAAAATATTTAGTTTTAATTTTCTATTTCAATATTAGGATTTTTTTTCTGAAATTAGGTAACACTTTTAAGAAGAAAGAAGGGACTGATTAATTTTATCACCCTGCATGCCTCCCTGATTTAAGAACACAGGTCAAATAACTTTATATACTGTACACAGTGTGTGAGTGCTTTGGTGGAGATTAGTAGCAATCTCTACCAAAACTAGCTAGCTAGTTTGCTGTTGCAGCTATTGGTAGAGTAACAAAATCTGGTTCCCCTATGACTGCAAATAATCCTAAAATGGATATCTCCACAAGGTTCCTTCCATACACAGGTATTTGCTAATTAAATCTCCTGGCTGACCTGTGGCAAAGATGTGCATACTCACCTTTCAGAAGCAGTCGGTGGGTGCAGTTATAGGAGTTAAAAAAAGAAAATGTTTGCCTATATTTTCTAATATATGCTTTGTGCATTAACTGCATGACTACTTAGAAAGTGCTGTCAGCTCCTTGGGAGCTGGAGTCTACAGTATCTGGAATACATCAGACCCTGACTACCTGAAAATACAGCTGTTCAGGCCAGAGCTACCTAGCCACATAAATACAGAAGTAAATACATTTATTCATGTACACATAAAGAAGCATACTTTTTCCTTTCAGCCCAGATGATTCTTTGATTTCTTCACCATATAATGTGATATTAGTTATCCATTCCATTTTCAGTGTGTGTATGGTGCCCATCCTGCCTAGAGATCACAGAATCACAGAAGACATGAAGGCTAGGTAATGAAAGTGATATAAATTTTGCAGTTGTCTTTAGCATGACAACAACAATGGCAAAGATTTTAATTTCTTCCTCCCTTATCTCCATTCTACCAGATACCTCAAAATTGTGTTTTCATAGGAGAAGAAAGCCCACACCACAGTAGCTCGCTCCTAGACACTTATATTAAATAAACATGTATTTAATAACTATTTATTCAGATATTTTATTGCACACATATAACTGAAAAAAAATGTACAGGTGCTATTACTAATTCTCAAAACTTTTTGCACATCTTGGCAGTCATGCCCATAATTTACTATTTTGTTAAGTAAGTCCACAGTTCTTAGTTACTAATTATGTGTTACTCCAAGCCACAGGATGTACATTACATTCATACATGCAGGAACTAAAATCAAAATTAATCTCCCAAAAACCATTTAGCATTCTTTCTTCACTGGAAATAAAAGCCTTATAAATATTACTTTGGTGCATTAGTTATCAAATTTCCTCTTTAAGCCTTTCTTTCTGCAAAAGCTTTTACTAAAGAGCCCAGTGCATTAAATCTGAACACCTGTCCAGCTTTTATTTGCATGGATTGAAAAAAAAAATTTTTGATTGGATTGTGGTATGTGAAAAATAATTTTAGAGAGATGCCAATATATAAACCAAATTCTTGGTGAATATAGAGCACACCTTGATTTTCCCATACACAGCAAATAAATTTCAAAGTTTTAATGCTGTTAGGAGGACTTAGTATTAGTCTTTGTATACAGTTATGTCATTACACATTTCTTGGTGTAAGTTTGAGGAGAAATATTGACTTCTTTATGCTGGCCTTAAATGACTCCAGGTATAGTTCCTAAATCCATATGCCAGTACAGAAATAACCAGCTAAGTTTTAGAGCTTTGAGAATGCATTAGCTTCAATCAAATTTCCAGATACTTTACACATCATAATATTTCTAAAGTACTTTGCTTCCCTAAACAACAGCACACCCCCTTGAATTCTGACCATACTGTCCATTTAAACTAATTATTATATTTGTTTTGGGAACAAATGTAACTGTTGCCTATTATGTAAACAAAAATACCATTGTCCAGTTTTATCAGCTTCAACATAATTGACTGCACCCTCCAAAAAATTAAATTTTAACTGTAATTGTATCATCTGCTATTGTGTTTGCAGATACTGAGTCTCCATTCTCTTAAATATGCTACATTTTATTTGAGGCACTGTATGCATCTCATTTCACAGAGATGTAGTAAAGAAAATAGGAAAGGATAAAGTGGATGGTGGTTTGTTGGTTTCTTTTTCCTCTAAAACATACCTAGAACATCCTGCATTGCAAGAGGCAGGGTTGCTTAGTAGTACAATTCATAAGGAAGACAGACATTGTCTTGCACGATCTCTTGAAATGGAAGCTTTCTTCAGTCTGCTATCAGGATTAGTTGCAGGAAGAGGAAAGATCAGCTATCCTTCCAGTCGCGTCAATGAATCTTGGAGTTAAACATCTGAGTGAAGAGTAACAGAAAACAAAAGGAAAAAGTCAGACCTTAGTGATAAGGTGAAATTAGACATGAAAATAATTAGTTCTGCCATAATTATTGTATTCTCTGACAGTGATATAGAGTTTCTGTCAAATGTGATTTAAAGCTAGGATGGGATAATCTAATCCATTTAGGTTGCTGATTCAATGTTTTTTCTTAAGTACTTTAATGCTAAAAGGAAAATATGTAGTTAATATTAAACACATGCTAAGTAAGAATGTTAAGTATCCTATTGCAAAAAAAATTCAAGTATCATACTGCAAAATAAATATCGACTGCAGTCTCCTTTGTGGAGAGCAGCCCTCTACTTCTCATATGAAGCATTACTTTGGCAATTGGAGAGCAAGTTTCAAGGCTGACTACAACCAACAATTAATGTGAAGATCCAGTGATAGCAAACAAAACATGGAACAAGTGTGCTTACTTCCCTTGTAGCCTCCTCTCCCCTGGTATATTGGTGTCACAGGCAGCTTCAGCCAGTATCACATATCTTTAGAGTCACTCAGCTTCTGCTGACACCATTATAGAATATGGTATCCCAGACTTATTTCTTTCAAAATTGTGTGAATTCAACCAAAAACTTCTTTTAAACTTAAGTGAATCCCATTTAAAATTAAAAGCAGTGTATTTTTAGTTCCTAAACACTTTGCTTCAGAAGAGATATGGACCAAAATCTTTAAGGAGGTCTTCCTTTTTCTCTGTGCTTCCTATATGAGAAAATGAAGAAGAAAGTAACTGGGTGCTTTCAGATATGAGAAGGAGGAGGCAGGGAAAAGGAGGAGAGCAAAACCAAAGGAGATTCATCTTAGCACTACAATTCTGAAATTGCACCTCAAAAAGCATGGGTCAGAAATATCATATTTCTTACACCAGTGCAAAGATCATGTCTTTTAAAATATAAACTTTTTAGTGAATGCTATTTTATCTTCTTAAACAAATAACTAACTTAGTCTAAACTTTTTTGGGCAATGATATTTCTCACCATGATGACACTGGAATAAAAATTTGTTTCTGGCTGCACTGGCACGGAGTTCCTTTGGGAGCTGTCTTCTGGCATTAACTAGAATTTTAAATTTTTTTTTCCCCTAATACCACTAAATAGTGGAGGATCCTTGTGGAGCATTAAGACTTCCACAGCTTCACAGCAGGCAGCTAGAGTAGGAGATGCATATTGAGTCCATTCTTTCTTAGCAGAAAGCAGAAATACAGTCTTAGCCCTACGCAATTCTATCTTGCTGCTTTAGAGATCTGATCAGAGGCTGATGTGAGTAAGGGCTTTGGTTTAGACTTATTGCTGTCAGAAAGACAATGTTCAGCAGTCTGCAAGAATACTGTGTACACTTATAGACATGTGCCCAACAGCACCTGGGTGTGTGGGAGGGACAAATGAAACATGTAACTGGATTTTGTTATCTTGGATGACAGCAGTGGTTTTGGAATGATCTGCATCTTCACAGGAAGCTGCAGCGGTTCTCCACAGATGTGGGATTTCAGCAGATACTCGTGTTGAGCAACACAGATTCTGGTGCTTGGGTTATCTAATTAACATAGCTCCCACATGGGTGAACTGCCTTGTAGTGGTTTAATCTGCAGCCTTCACATCAACAACAAAGAAATCTCCTAAATAACAGACCTCAGGAGTGAATAATACATCTTGATCCTTCACCTTTGGTCATGACATGAAGCTTAGACAAAACCTTCAAGTTTTGTTTTGGCTTCAGCTCTCAGCATCTTTTCCCTGAAAAGCCACAGAAGTAGAATTAAGGACCATTTGGCAGAACAGTTAGGTGACATTTTCTGGAGTATCATGATTTCTCTGGTTACTATTAAACCATTGATAGCAGCCATTTCGGTCTCCTTTTTGAATGTGGACACACTCAAGAAAATTGAATAAAACAGCATGACTACTTCTTTCAGTCAGAAAACTGAGGAGTTGTAAAGATTTCATTTTTTAAATAAAATTCTCTCTTTTTGCTCACAAAATACTGAACAATCTGGAATTATTTTGTTTTACTACTGTATAAAATGTAGTTCCTACTTTTATAGGCTTGGGAAGAGTCCATGAAATCTCCTGTTTTATGATTGAGGTCATTAAATGTCAGTATGACTTATTTGTCTGAAACTCTGGTCACAGCTGGAAGGTAAAGAGTTGTTGAAAAGATAAGGGATATAAAGAGGCTCATTAAAATAATGCAGATGATGGTACTGTGATCATCTTCTGAACTGTCTTCAACCTATGACAGGAAATCCTGTTGACCAAGTATTGTTTTATCTTTTTTCTTACCTATAGGCAGGTTTTTTGTTGTGTACAGTGAAAGATGAGAATACAAACATGGAATCTGAAAACACCTATACCAAGGAAGCCTAACTCTTTTTTAACGAAGTTTTGGGAGGGCAGAGGTGGACATGAATTGTGAGGGGATGTTCATAATCACAGGGTGCAAGAATCTTCCCTGTTACTCAGAGCACAGCCATGAGAAGCACCTAAAAATAACTTTTATTTTCACAAATCCACAGTCCTACAGCAGACGTTAATTTCTGCCAGTAGACTGAAATTCCATGAGCAGTTGAACATAAGCAAACTTATTATTGAGAGCACAAGGCTGTCTTCCAGCAGCTTCCTGAAAACCACTTACAACAGTCTTCCAGACTAGAAAACTGAGCCTGGTGGAAGATCCAAGTACTTCTTTAAACGTAGCATTAACAGCATAACCATTTGGCGAAGGGAAAACTTAAATTAGGTTGCTATGAATACTGTCAATCCCAGTATCATAAGAGGAAGTTCAATTATCTTGGACTGGTCCCAAATTCATATTCTGAAAATGAAATGATGAAACAACATGTTGTGGTAATTTTTGGCTTTTGTTTTATTTTTTTTAATTAGCCATTTTGTCAGTCACTCTGAGGGAAAGCTCAGCAGCATAAGAAAGCAGGAGTCTTCTGTTAAAATGCAGCAGCTGTTTGTAACGGCTTGTTGAAATCACCATGAAACTTGAACTGTATTAGAGGCAAGACTGTGAAACAAAATAGCCTGTAATGAGCAGCTGTGCCTAAGGAGTTCAGCTTCAGTGTTTTTAAACTGCCAGCTCCTTGCAGAGAGCATTTTCCAGGCTCAAGAACGGATTCTCTTGATACAAGGGTCAGTTAAAACTTTCTGGGTCAGAGAGCTCATTTATCTCTTGATTTCTTGCTAACCTGCCAGACTTTAAAGCGCTGGTAGCATCTGTCTCACTGGGAAGGGACTGAAGCAGCCAACCCAGTAACTATTAGGGAGACAACACTTGATCTATTTTTAAAAATCTAGGATTGCTTACAATGCAAGTTAAACCACTTTGTATTCCATTCCCTCTGCTACAGAGGACAGTCAAGAAATTCCCCAAATGTTGATTTTCCCCAGTGAGTTGAAAACAGGCATCTATAAATATTGCAAAATGATTGCCAGATTCTAAGCATTTTTTTTTTCTGGTTGCTGCCACAAAAGATTCACACAGAATCACAATCCACATTACTTTTCAGAAGTTTTCAGATATGTGATTAATACAAATAGGGAATTTTTTACTCATAAACCATAATATTTGCTTTGTAGTACTGGTAAGTAATTAACTTTTTATAAAGAGTGTTCATAATCTAAACTAGAGGAATGAGGAAAGGAGGTCAGAACTCCTTAATAAGACATCTGCAGAGACAATGCACGCAGATCTCAGGCAGACCCAGCAAAGAGCTGTTTCATCTGAACATTAGCTAGCTCATCTGACATGGCTTCTCTCTTCTGTAACTACTGGCACATACAGAGCAAGTGGAGCTGCATAACTTATTTTCAAAAAATACACAGAGAATATAAAGCCATCTATAGCCTAAACAACAAATTTTTGCTCAGAAAAAAAATATCATATGAGCATAAAAGGGCTGCACAAATTTTGCCATATTTGTAAAAGTGGGTTTAGCTGTGTTCGGGTAGGGCAAATTGGCAGTTTTGGGCCTAATCACAATTTGGTGTGTTCAAGAGGATAGCACTTAAAAGGAATATGAACAAACTGCTGTAGGTCTGTACAGCCCCCATAACTCTAGCATTAATCCTTCCTCTATCCTTTTCTACCTTGTGACTCAAAACTGCAGCTCACTATTGGAGTGAATAGCACAGAAACACTTTGAGGATGCTTAGCTCTCTCCCTGCAACTTTCATAAGCTCCCCAGCCTTTTTGTTCCTCCACCTAGAAGGAGGGTACCCAACTAGAACTGGAGAACTCCTCTGGGAAGAGGTTGGCCAGCTCACTGTACCCATGCTGGCAAGTGTCCCACCTGTCATTTGTCACAAGACACGACAGGACAAGGGCTGGCTCACCAACAGGAGAGCTGCATCTGCTCCTGGGTGGATTTATGGGAAGATATCACTCAGACAGTTCTATAGGAAGCAGACTTGTTTCACCACAGAACCCAAAAAATCACAACTGAATAATAATAGGTAGTGCATTTGTAAAGGAAAAGAGGGATATTTTTCTTGACCAGTTCAGGTCAAATCTGAGCTCATCCCTACAAACCTGAAGCACTCAGTGTAGTATGCTTTGAAACCCTGACTTTTCTACTTTCTTGGTCATTTTGGTACTACATGAGGTCAAAAAGGGAGGCAAGGAGAGAGGAAACCAAAAGATGTTCCCAAGTTCACCCTTGGGAACTGTCAAGTTCCTTTGAGTATAACTTAAGAGGTCCATTTACAAGCTGTTTCATACGAACAATTCACAGCATTTAACACTCAGTTCTCACAATATTGCACTTTTCTGCCAATGTGGGTGTCTCAAACTCACATGGTACCAAACTGAGTTAATATGATAGCACAGCACTGGGGCCAAGGGAAAGTGTTGCCTCTTTTACATACCTCCAAAAAGCCTCCACCTCCATCACCACAGATGCTCTGTTGCATCCCTTTCTGTTGTTTGGCTTGTTAGAATATGTAGTGCCAGAATGAGGTATGAAAGGGAAGGTTTTGGAGGAAGACTGTGTGGCTACCGCATTAATTTTTGGAACTGGAAAACAGACTCAACAGGAATGGGGAGAGGGAATCACAGATCTCCACTGGTGGCGTGTTGTACTGGGATGAAGGCAGTCAACCAAGACAAGGTTAAGAGTTTTACATTTCTAATACTTTCTGCAGTTACAGTTGTAATGTTCTTTTGAGAATGTAATTTCATAACATGTGATTGTTCTGCTTACTTCTAACTGAACATTTGAAAGAAATCAGCTTTAATAGCCTGCTTGATACATTGCTATTTGCAGTGTTTTCCTGGTCCATACTCTAAAGTCCAGTTGGTTGAAAGATGATTATAAAAGAGAATCCATGAAATGTTATATTAAGAATTCCATGAGCCTGGAACTATTTAAATTTAAAAATTAACTGAGAGAAAGTATATTTTTTTAATGTTATAGGATGTGAGGGCCCTGTGAGGAGGGGACACTGGGTCTCAGGGTTTAGCTGCCTATGTCCGTGGTTGGCTCTGCCACAGTGCAGTCTTGGGTGAAATTCCTGTGTTGATAATTTTGTTGTAAGAAAGAGCTGTGTGATGACTCTTGGAGCACCCCTCACCCCTTGGCTCAGGAGATTCATTAAAGCTCAGGGTGTTACTCCTTGGTCATTTCTTGAGCCATTATGCAGATACACATTTGCCTCTCCCTTTGCCAGCAGCTGGTCCCTGACAAAGATTGTCTTAAAAATGAAACGACTTTTGAACCAGAGTATTAGCATCACAAACTTATCTGGAGGATGCACTACGCTACTCCTTCTGCAGTTGATTTTCTGATTTCTTTCATGGATGCCCATCCCAGAACATCCTGAGCAGCTGCTCTCCAGCCAGTTTTCTTTTGCAAGGCTAAGCCAGTGTGCCAGGGGCAGAAGGCAGGAAAGCCTGATGAATTCCTTCAGAATTTGTTCATGTTTGAGTGGGGGTGGCAGATGGGGAAATCCATGAGGAGCATATATATCTTCTTACTCACCCTGTAAAACCGCATGCCAATCATCCTGTGCAGTCTGTGTGGGATCCCAGGGGTGTTAAAAAACAGAAATCAGGACATATTGGAGGATGTATAAATCACAAATTATATCTGCTTCAGGGAAGGGGTACTCCTTCTTACATATTTGCTCAGCTCTGCTGCACTGCAGCCCCTAGGCATCAAATTATTGTAATTCCAGTTCTATTTTCAGAACATCAGAAATCTCTGAAAACACTCACTGAGAAATGCTTGCAATCATTCCAGTGAATTAAGTGCTCATTTGGAGACTTTCATTTCTTCAGTTTCTGAGGTTTGTCTAGGAAGGAGGGTTAGGTTAATCTGGAGCACTTTTCAAGTGCTGTTGAATTGGAGCAGACATTTGCTGCTTTGCTGTTCACTTTCACATAGCACAAGAGAAAAATCAAATATTATCTGGGACATGAGTTCTTTGCCCTTTGTTGTGATATGAAGAAATAGTTTTTTTGCTGAATAGCAGGAATAAAAAACCATCATTCCTCTTCTTTCACCCAACAGCTCTATTAAGATAGTGGGAATTATTTATTAAAAAAAAATTCAAAAAATTATTTAGAAATACATAATATTACATTAACAATTGGTGGAAGTTTCTTAAGCAAGTTGTCATGTATCATTTCAGCATGTCAACTATGTAGCAAAATATTTTTGCACAACAAACATTGAGTTTTTTGCTTATTAAAAAGCACTGTATTTTACAAAACACAAATTTAAGCAATTTACTGGCATATAAATGCAGCTACTCTGAGCTATCTCATCTTTCAAATTAAACCTTCTATTTTACTCTAATTTCCATCAGGAATAGAAACTTTTACCATGCAATGCTACATTTTCAAACAACGCAGCTCTTTGTGTATAAGCGGTGATTTGTCCACACATCACTCATGCTTGCATTCCAGAAGAAAACAGTTGTTAGGATTGTAATTGCTTAATAGTAGACATGCTATAATCAAGTTCCATCATATATTTCAAATTTGTCACGTGTTTTGGGCAAGATTCTTTTTCCAAAATCTGATAATATGTATATATATATACATCTTATCCAATGTTATTAAATCTGTCCTTAGTTTGATCGTTTCTGTATTGTTTCCCACCATCATATCCATTTTCCTTTAACAAAATCATCTCATCTGCACTTATACCATACTCTGACCTGCCTTCTCAGTGGATTGCTCTAAAAGGTACCCACCACACTGCTACAAAAATGAACCAAAACTGCCTTTCCTCACCACTGCCATCAACTCTTCCACATGCTATATTAACCATGACTGGATACTAGTTATTAGTTTTTCTTTCATAAGCAAGAGTTACTCTGCAGGTGTTTTTAAAGCATCATAGTGATTACAGAGCAAGAGACTTAGGCATTGCCCAAACCTTTGTAGATAAAAAATTAGCTTCTTGAATGTGTTTCCAAGTAGTCATGAGGATTTTTCATGACTGCACATTTCAACCTCATAGAAATTCAGAAATACGAGGTCATATCCATCAAAAAAATCCCCCAAAAGGCCAAGACAACAACCATAAATTTAACATGATTTTTTTATATTGCTGAGCACATTTGTTACATAGTCTTCTCAAACTCATTCTGAGAATCTTTGTTGCAATCTGAGGTTAATTGAGTGGCTGCAGAACTAAATCAAGTACTATCCATCTACTACATTAAAGCATTGCCTTTCCTCACTTTAGTTAGTCCCAAAACTTTCATAAAAAGGCAAGATAAGTAAAATCTAGAATTAAAACTACTGAGAAAGTATATTGACCATGCAAATAAAGTGAAGTTGAATATAACATTAAAAAACTGAGGGAAACAAGCATTTAAGAGCAACTTTTCCCTCCCTCAGCTTATGCTTTTTTAAAAAAAAGAGACAAATATAAGCCAGGGATTTTTTTAAATTGTAGATTTGATGTTGCTATTTTTTTGTGTATTTTTTTTTGGTCTTGGTTTTGTTTTTTCCTTCAACTGCCACATCTAGAATGTGGCTGCAGAGAGAAAACTGCTGGGGCAATACTGGGGCATTATTCCATAACTTGCTACAGATTTCATGGAGTATGCATAAAATAACTGTCAGAACCACTGAGAGTCTATATTTCTGATCAGACATAGAACACATGTGGAAATACATGCCAAAAGAAGTCAAATACCTGTAAGCTTGTAGGGAAAGAATTTCTACATGCAAATAAGGTAGACATATATCTTTTTCCTTGAAGACATACCCTTTAACTTTAAAATCTGCCACAATCAATCTTCTTCCCCAGCAGAAAAAATAAATGTTTAAAAAAAGGCCAAAAACAAATCAGAAAAAACAACAAAGGAAAAAGAAAAACAAAACCAAAAAACAATTTAGATGCACTTTCTTCCATCCCTATATATATATATGTAGTTGCTGCTCGCTTTTTGGCATATTCACTATTCTGCTCCTTTGTAATTCTAATTTACTATTGTTATTTCTATCAGAAACTACTATTGCCTTTTCAGAACAAAATCCCCTGGGAGATAGATAAAAGCAAGCTCCATGCTAAATTTCATCAATTTAAAAGGAAACAGCCCAAGGCTTAGGTCCTTATCATACACCTCTATATAAACATTATATTCCTGGTCTGCACTGTCCAGTACAGATTCACCCTTTCCAGAGATTAGTGCTGATCTTTTCCCAGTTCAGCTTCTAGTCTGTGCTGAAAAATTGTTTAGAAATGCTTATAGACCTCCTAGATGTTAAGATGTTAAAACAGATGTGACTTGATATTTGTCTTTTCCCATACCAGACTGCATAGATCCAGTTAGGCTTAGAAGTTGTTATAAATTAGAGTGTTTGAGATCACTTAAAAATCATTGGCACAGGCATGAGCAAAAATCAGATTTTACATTTAAGTGACTAAGCACGCAAAGTTCGTTGGCAAGATTCACTCTACTACTTACAGGACAGCTAAGGCACAAGGGAAAGTGAGTAACAAAAAACCCATATATCCAGGCAATCAAACAGAAATGAACTGAGAACAATCTAGGGGGGCATGTGTGTGTTTTTAGAAGTGTGGGTTTGGGTGTATGAGTCAAAAGACAGTGCAGGCAAGGATAAAAAGGAACACAGCCCAAAAGCTTAACACTGAAACTTAGCAGTAGTTTAACTTACTTTATACCTTAAACCTAGCAATTTAACATAGAAAACCACTTAACAGATAACCAACTTAGCTTTTCCCTTAATTTATATTTTAACAATCTAACAGAGCAATTACACTTAATAGCATTTAACTTAAGTTATAACCCTTACTTCAACGTCAAACTTCGCAACTACACAGAAGGACACCCAGCAACACCTAGCTTGGCTTATGTTTAACAATTCAGAAAAAGAACAACACTTAGCAGCATTTAAGTAAGTTTATAACTATAACTAACATTACTTATTTTGATATCCAAGGTACTTAAGCATCTAAGAAAGCAGTATTTCTCTCAGATTTGCTGTAATATATGCGCAGGGGCATATGTGCAGACAGAAATAGTGCAGGCAAGGTAACCTGTGAAAAATACCCCTCAGAGGTGAGTGAAATTCTCACTTTGGATGCTTTTGCATCTCCCAACAAGAGAAGGATCAGGCCTCAAGGACTGAGGTGTCAACCTAGAACATGTCATGTTTCGGTGATTCTTCAGGTACAGAAAAGCTGAGGGTGTGCCGGCTCTGAGTCCCACTCTGAGGGACACTGTTGGTCACAGGCCCACTGCGATCCAGCAGAACCTCAAAGGATTCCACCTTGGACTGCTGTTCATAGGGTCACAAGAGAGTGTGGGTTTCAGTCAGAACAATGTTTCATCGCAGCCACAGTTTGGGTTGGCACCTTCTTTGAAAGTGTGAGAACAGGAAGGTTATGCCATTCAGGCCAGAGGAATATTTTCTAAGGCTTGGCATAAGGAAAACAGGATTTTGTTAGCAATTCCTGGGAACAGGAATTATTCCTGATAAGCTTATTCTAGATAAGCTTGGAAAGAGATGAGCCCAGGTGCTGTTTTCAGGGCCTAACAAGAAGTTCTCAGATCACACTGCAGCCTGGAAAGGGGTGGGAGGCAAGAACCACCACAGGGGTATAAATGCCAGCATAGATTAATTTAGCAGGACATTTCCTGCTCACTGCTTTCAGGCATATGAAAATTAACAAGTCTTTTCTGGGCTGGGGCTTCTGCTGTGCTTGAAGACTGCTTAGATTATGAGCTCAGATTTCCATTCCACTCTGAAGGGTGGTCTTTAGTCCTGCACACTACATTGCTTGCAGCTTATGTAAAATGTGTAAGAGTAGCTCAAATGCAAGGTATTTTTCACACTGAGATTCAGTCATCATTGTAAAGACCAAACATGTTATGTTAGGTTCATGGATCACAGCAGGAAATCATCCTGCATCATCTTTTTAGATTAAGGGTTCCAAAGAGTTTTGCAGTTTTACATAATTCAGAGAGCATTTTAAAACAAAACAAAACAAAACAAAACAACAAACAAAAGAATGAAAACAATGCACTCTTTAAAAAAAATTCACACCCATGAACTAGTAGCAGTTAATTTTATAACTCCATGAAAATAAAATTCCACCTGTTTTCTAAATGCATTTCCCATTTGCACAAGAGTCAATACATCTTCTGTTTCAACGTGGGATAGAATTAATGTGTGAACAATTAGGTTTGAGTGAGACGACCTAAATGAGATCCTGGTGGCATTAAATCCATGGATAACAAAAGGATTTACACTGCAATGCTAGGAGCACAGTGCCTTTAGCTCTTGAATTCCCATTTCTGGACCATAAAAAGCTGCAGCCATGAAGTGCACAGTCCTGCTGTGGTATAAACCATTGTGGGTAGATCATACTCTCGTAAAATGTCAATTTTGAATAAGCAGGCTTTGGGCTACTTTTATCCTGGCTAATAAATGAAAGACAAGGTTTTGCCTGTTCTGTTTTCTTTACCACATCATTTGAGTAGTTCTACAGAAATGTGGTGCCATGCCATGGCCAGTTCAGATTTTCATCCATGAAAACTTGAGTTTGTACTGTGCCCATCCTGTTCTATGATTGTGGAAACAGCAGTCAAAAATGGGAGAGATGTTTATAAGGTAATGAACCTTGCACTCACGAGTAAATTCTCTTCCATGTGTAGCACATGCAAAGTTATTAGGAGATAAACAACTCTAACATTTTAAATAAATATCTCTCCACTGGATTTTGGTTTTGTAACTGTATCTGTTTCGTTTTGGTTTTTTCTTTTTTTTTCTTGAGCCTTCTGCTTTAACATCAGTTAACACAAGATTGTTATTTATACTGAGGAGAAATTAACCACAACTTCATGACCTGCCACTGCTAAAGTTACAAACACTGTTCCCCTTTGCCACAAGTGTTTAGATGCCTGCCTTCAAGGTCATCTCTGCCATGGTGCAACCTTGAATGGAACTGCTGGGAAAAAAGTGTTTTCCCAGGGAGAAAGAAGAGTGAGCTGTGCAATGACTTGCAGACCACCTCTACCTTCCTAGCTTGGAAGCTGCATGACAGCTTAGGCAGACCCTGGCCATCTTTGACTTGATGACTTGGCTTCCTGTCTGTGCCTGGAGCATCCTCCTACTTGGTGCAGCTGTGATGGCCACAAATCCCTTGGCCATCCCTGTTCACTCTGCCCAGCCCTACGCCACTCTCTTTGCTGGGATGTGATGTGATGGCTAATGCAGGCATAATCCTGCCAACCTTCTTAACACCCTCAACACTTGCTCCTGGCTCTTACGAGTGTTAGCTCTCTGGTGATATCCTAAATTTTCAATCTCTTTTACCCCAGAGTTAAGCAGTGGTGCTCATTTTATTTCAGCTATTTTAAGTTTTGAGATTGTATCCTTCTGTTGCTCTTTTTAATCTATGTTCCAAAAGTCTCAGGGGAGATTATCTTTCTTTATTAGAAGTTCTCAGTAAGTTAGCATTTCACACTACTTGAAACAGTAGTAGTAGATGATGTAAAGTTCATTTTTTCTAGTTAGGGAGATAAGAAAATATTTTTGCATAAAAACATTTTCCTCTCTAATTGGAAACTGACAGTCACCTAGAGACAAGAATAATAACATGGTTCCCAGTTAATTTTTTTCATAGACAACACTGAATTTCTGGATTTTTCCTACAGCATACTGGTTATTTATGACAGTTTTTAACCTCTCTGATGACAACTTGCCTTTAGATGTTATGACACTCAACATACTGTAAATTCAGGTATCATGAAGGCAAATACTAGTTCAGGTACGTGAAATGTCTGTTTTTCCAGTGCAGTAGCCTGAAAATGAGCACCATTCAAATCCCACAGCATAATTCAGCTCTAAATAGGTCTCTTCACTTGTAAGTGCCCATTTAGTGCTTCTAGAAATTTTCTCACAATGCTTAAACATTTTTTTGCTGTTTTCCAATGTTTCATTATAATCTCTTACAGGGTCACTCTTCTTACCATGGCAACCAAGCCACCAGTAGCACTGATCTTGTCTCATAAAACAGTCAGTAGTCCCAGGACTGGTCAGTACTTGAAAACCAAACTAAGCACTGCAGAAAATTATACTAACCAGCTTTTCCAGAGTATTCAGTACAGAATTGATTGCACCTCTATGACTTCTGTTTTATATCACAGTAAACAACTCAGTTGTGGAACAGTTCTGTGAGCCAGCTTTTTTTGGTTTTGTTTATTCAGTGAGTTATTAAAATTTTTGTGCATTATTTTGGGAGAAATGGCTATGATACTGTTTCATTTTGATATTATAATGAACATGAAATAAAAAAAAAATATTTTTTCTATCTCTTTATTCAGGAAGGCAGGAGGCTAGGTGGGTGGTGCAGGACTCTGCAGAACAAAATACATTTTTCCTTTTTCTTTTATTTATCTTGTACCACACTATTATTTATATCTACACAGTTGAATTTTCTTTAAAGTGTACCATAAGATACAGGTTAGGAAACAGCAGCACTGAAATTTGGGTCCCACCATGTAAGTGCTGAAATTGTAGTGTTCATTCTCATTACTAAACAGTCACACAGGGATTGTAGGAAGATCTGAGGAATGTCATCTTTACCTTTGTGCATAACAATAAAATGAACATATCAAAATCAGAAATATGCCAGCATCCAAAATGAAAAGATATTATTTTTTCTATTCACATCTTCAAAGATGTAAGGGAAGCACAGAAGGAGACAGATGGTCCCACTGACCATGATGCTTATTTAAAAGGTATACTAATGCTTCTCAACACCTACTCCTGTAAGCTTAGATCTCCAGATCTTCACTTGTGCAAGCTGGCTCTGCAGCCATGAGTTAAGATCTTGAAAACTGTTCCCATGTGTTCCTGAAAGGCTTTGGCCATCCCTTTGCACTGGACACTTGCCTGAGAGGACTTGTATTAGCCATAGGGTTCAGCCAACTGGAGATTGTAGTTCTTCAAGCTACAACTGATTCTCAGTCACTTTCATCTTTGCTCAGCTTCCCTTCTGCCCCATACACTTCCTATCCCTGACGCCATCTAGCTGAGTAACAGGCTAACTTAAATTTTACTTCACTTTAAATTTGCTGTTTCATAGGGCATATGTGATGAAAGATGTTTTTCCATGCCCTGGCCATGTCATCTGGTTTAACTGATAACTTTAAGGCCATACATCTATTCACATTTTTCCACCCTATCCATGCCATCACTTTTTGTCATGGATTTCACAAATCTCAAAAAGAAGTTGTCTTGCTATTTAAAGTGGTCATATAGAGCTTAACAGAGTTTTTCCACATTTCTTATAGCCCTTTTTTCCCATGTGCACACTTAAACCCTTTCTTAGAGAGATGCTTAGAAGCATCATCTTGATGACCTAGTGAGTCAATATTTCCTTTTCTTATGACACCATCACAAGCTCCTATTATAAAACTGTGTAACTCTTACCTTGTCTACTAACACAGCAGCTCATATGCTGATTCTATACAATATCATATCTCATAGCTTTGTTATAAAAACTTTGTGTTGTTTCGTTCCTATCAGGAACTCCAGATCTGGATTTATAAAGACTCCACATCTTAAGTGATGTGTAGGATAACACTGTAGAGAAACAGATTCCTGATGGGGAAAAAAAAACTATTCAAATTTTTGGTGTTACCATAGAATAAGATTTCTTTAAGGTTTTGTTTAAACTTATAAGCAATAGAAAATGCTCATGAAATAGCCATTAAGATGTTCAGGATACTTACCCTTGGCTACTTAAAAAGAAGATTAAATTCTGAGAACATATAAACATCTAAGGAAGGTTAAATGAGCAAAATTACTGAGCTAAGAAGTCTTCACCACATAGAAACAAGGAGTACAAAAAGAGGATGGGACATAAAAGTATTTTATTTCATTTTAAAAAACAATATAACTTTCATTCTCACATAAAGACTACTTGAAATTCTAGAGACAGTTTAATGAACAAAATGTTCTGATGTTTGTCTCAAATTTTCGATGTCTTTAGTCAAATTCTATATCTGTAAAAACTGGGAAGGCAGAAAATATGCATTTCAAAATAGTAATGCTATTTCTGGATAGTTCTGGAAGACTTAACAGGCTGGAGCCCAAGAAATAGTGGAAGAAGAGTAAGAAATTCCATAAATTAAAAAGACTACAACCATGAAATTGTTTTCTATGCTACTCATAAGAATACTTTTCTTGATAAGGTGTAGGGAAAAGATGTTGAAAAGTCAGGAGAACCTGAGCAGTTAATCAGCTAACAATTTATTGTGTCAGCAATAGTAAACTGCAAGTGTGTGCATGTGCAAGGCCATGGGTTATTACAAAAGAAGCAGCACAATTTCTATTTCTATACAGAGGAAGAGGAAATCACAAATTCCAACTAAGCAGATTTACTACAGCTATATGTAAAACAGAGCATTTATTTCTAGGTTATTCCCTTATAGAGAAATAGAAGCAAACTGGAGCAAATAAGAAAGAAAAGTAAAAGAGCAAGTTTAACAAGAACTGTGGAGAAAGTTGATCTACCAGTAAAATAAGAAAGAGCTGCTGATCCTGAAATATCTGTCTGATAAAGCAGATATTGAGACAGGGTGCAAGCTTCAGAACCAGCCACACTGCTAAAAAAAGCATGCTTCTCTACCATTTTACTTCCACTCTTTTAAAAAGAGTGTAACAAAACTCTGAAGCACCCAGGTTTCTGTTCTGCACTGTCATTTCCTTGGCAGCTGCTACAGCGAAGAGTTTAGGACTCTACTCAGACAGGGAGGCAGAAAGGAGGAAACATTATCTAAACCCTCATCTATCTTGACCCACAGGTTAAGTCACACGCTTACACCTGAGTCACCTCTTACCCTGCTCCCTCCTCCTCCATATCCTCTCTTATTCATGCAGACTCCTCCTCCTTATGAATTTAGCTGCTGTCAGCGTCTTTGTCAGCATTTCAGTTTTCAACCTACTTACTTCTCACCTTGCAGGCAGTCCTATGTATGAAACACTCATACATGGTTAACATCTTGCACCTCCTTCCTCTGCTCCCCTTGTTTACTAGAAATGCTCAAGCTGCCCACAGAATAGTTTGCTTCGCTCTGTACCTTCAGGCCAGTTGTGAGCAATGCGAGCACAGCCAACAACTGGGCTCCTCCAATGGCTGCAGCCAGGCAGAGCTTGGGTCTGGAATGAGGAGAAACAAAAGCATCCAGCTGCTTGGAATACAGAATGTCTGGAAAGGCACATAGCGAAAACTCAAGGAAGGTCTGAGACCTGCAGAGATTGCAAGACAGAGAAGAGTCCTGTGCTACTCCAAGGCTCTAGCATCCCTGAAAGGATGGCTCACATCATTCAGTATTGTGCCTCTTCCTCAGGATATTAGTAGTACTACTACTACTAATTTTGAGAAACTGAGAAGACTGTAGCTGACTTCTACCACAAGGTGACCTATAGAGAAATTAGCATACTTCTGCATATCATTGATAGGTAGAAGTTTCCCTTCAAATAGGATGAGAGTCCCATATTTATTATTTTTCTTTATATAAATGAAACATTAATGCACCATATAATGCACCATAGGAGTGGCAACTGATGGTGGGCATATCCCAAGTCATATAGCAGTAAAAGAGGAATTTGTTATCCTGTGCTTGGGATTTAAAATTACGTTGCAAAGAGCACTACTTAAGCACTACTACTGAAAAGATTTGTACTACTAGGGTAATAAATTAAATTACTACTAAAATCCTTCTCCTAAAGTTACTACTATCTTTTGATCTGTTTTTTTTCAAGGACCTAGTCTTTGGTGTGCTTAACAGGCCATACAATAAATTGGGGAAAAATTGAATAGGCTTAGAAAGCCTATTGCTACATAACCAGTGTTCTGTTGCTGGTTTGATATCACCAGGGAGTTCAAAGAAATCCTTAATGCAAGAGGAAGTCATTACAGAAAAAGGCAACAGTCATTATATTTTGCATTCCAATAACATGACAAAATAGCCAGAGGACCAATTTTTTTTTTCTTTTTTCTTTTTTTTCTTTTTTTCCTTTTTTTTTCTTTTTTTTCTTTTTTTTTTAATGTAACATCCTGAAGGAAGGAAGGAAGTGAATTTGGAGATTTAGCTTTGTATGCTGGAAAGAAAATAAATAGTGTATGACTAATTAAGCCCCAGGTAAAGCTGAGAGTAATGCCTCCAGCATTTTTAAAGGAAAGACTAAGAGAGAGATTATTATCCTAGAAGTCAATGCCACACTAGCCTCAGAAAGACTCTCCAGAATACCCAATAAGACTTGCCTTGCAAGACTGCCACTAAAATATTCTGAATACATTTCCCACAGCAGACTAAATGCCATAAGGAATCTTTCAGCATTCTTTTCCTGAGGTCATTTCTACTGGGAAAATAACAATGCCACTTCCATGCTGAAAACCTCTGTTATAGGAGCCTTTTAGCAATCTGCCATTAAAGTTTATCTTCATGCTTAACAGAAGTTCAGAGCATAGCTTCTTCGTTTTCTCTTCGAGACTATGTCACATCTACAACTATTTTTGTAAAGAAGACCCCAAAATCTTGTTTCTACTGTATTTAAGGACGATTTCTAGTACCCAGCCATAGCTACTTGTTACTTGAGGGAAAAGTGTGAGCTCCACTGCCTGCCAGCTGAGCTGTATGTCCTACAGTGACTTAACTCATCAGACGGAGGGGCACAGGCTGGCCCTGTGCAGTAATACATGGCACTGGACTGCAGGCTCCATGAATACAACCACAATCCCTCAAAATATTCAGATGACTGTCTGCAGAGATTGTTTACTCCTGATCCACTATTCCTTGCATTCAAAATTAGGTATTTTTGTTCTTTTAAATTTGAAATAATAGGGGAATAAAAGGCATCTTTTTCTAAACTACTTTGTTCTCAGAAGTGATGACTATAAATCAAGTTTCCATCGGTCAGATTTTGCTGCTTAGGATGCAAACAATAATTCAATATATCAAGAGAGCAGTTTTATAAAGATTGTTACTGTAGATTCTGAATAAAGTTCAGAATTAGTACTGAGACAAAAGAACAAAAATTTCTAGACTGTTTGAGAGGTATCTCATTCAGACACTGAAAACCTGAGAGTTGTGGAGGTCAATGATATTTAACTATGTGCTTCTAGAATTAAGCACATTCATTAACAGCAACTACTAGAAGTTAAGAATTTATTTTAAATAGACATAAGGTGGATAAGGTTCAGAATCTCAAATTTCATCATTTCCATAAGAAAGGAAATTGTTTTTCCTCCACAGTATAATAGTAGAGGCCTAAATGTGACATAACAGAAGTGTATGAGGTCATTTCCTCATCCAGAAAACATTAGTGTGATACAGCTGTACTGAACAACTCTGTATCTCTAGATGTAAAAGCATGCTTTATGCTTACAGTGGTAAAATAAAGGGCACTAATTATAATCTTTATCCATTCACTCAAACAGAAGTGTGTTTGTACTTTGATAGGACTCTGGATATTCATGCATTGGTGAAAATTGCTGTCACAGACTAATTCTTGCATTTGCCCCTGATCTATCCTCATAGATGTGGGATAAGGAATAAAGCAAAGTCTAGTCTCTGTGATTAGTTAGAGCTTACTCAGCATTGTTTTCACTCGTGAGCAGCTGTATCCTGGCGCTTTCTGCCTCTTTCTGATTGCAAGCAATTACTTGAATACTTAGGTGTTTGACTGTCATCCCTTCTACCCAGAAATAGACTTACTTTTAAGACCAAGGTGAGAGGGAGATATATGTATTTATATATACATATATATATACATATATATATATCAATATATAGATATATATATAGGGATCGATATATAAATAAATAGACAAGTTAAGCTAAAACAAGGTAAATTGGATTAATTTCTTGGTACCCTATTTATCAGAGTAGAGCACAACAGGTAATACATTTCTAATGATATTGCAAGTATTCAAAGTGTATAAGTGTTCATGTAGAAGCTGATGAGGACTGATTCGAATTAACTGAAAAACAATCACTGGTCATATATCACAAATAAATTCTAAGACTGTATTGCATATGTAGAAAATGAAATCAGACTGCACATTTTTTTACTCAGAAATAATTTTTAAGCTAATTTTAGAACACTCTAACCATTAATTTATTGTAATTAAAAATAGGTTTTGAGATTGATTGTATTACTTTATGCTCAGAAAATTTAAAAAAACAATATTATGGATGATAACAAATTCAGTCCTAAAGAAAGATAGTCTAAAAACCTTCATAACAAAACTTTCTTTAAAAACCAGCTTTTTTAAAGGAGATTAAAATTATTTAGTGCAGAAAAAGCCCTGCTGTCCTTCATTTGTCATTGAGAAGAGAGAAGAAACAAAGGATGATCCAGATATTAACAGTCTTTTTTTCGAAGACTTTTTCTTATGTTATTAAAAACTGCTATTTCAACTGAGCTGTGCATTTGATGAGAGGAGGTGCTTTAATGTATGTCTGTATCCTGCCAAGTCTTAGCTGGTAGCAGAGAGGTGCTCCACTCTGCCATGCCACTGAAACGCTGCAGCGTGAGCAGGCTGCATTCTCCTTGTCTGAATGAGAAGTGAGGGAGAGCCTGCAGTCTGTGCTACACCATCCTGGATGGTGTTGCTGAGTGGCTTCTATTGGACAGACATGTTCTGCTGGATATTTTGCACAGCTTTTCTCTAATTCCCAAATGAGAACGGCTTCAAGGTATTTAATGAATAAATTCCATTCAAAAGGTTTTATTTGTGTCATAGGGACATAGCCTACTGTTCTTCATAGAACTAGTCTTCATTTTGCTGTAAAAAGCTCAGTTCAGGGAAGTTAAAGACAGATATTTTGTATGTGGACAGTTTCTGAGAGATAAAGTTCATAAGCATTTCACCTGTTCACTGATGTTTCACTTGCATTTTGGATACTCTAAATCTCACATCACTATTTTTCGCTTCAAGGATAGTGAATTTTTCTGCTTGTAGTAACTATAAGACATCTGCCTTTCATCTTTTTCCATTTCTTTCTCTCTTTCTCACCTGAGGGACCATAATAAATCCTTTCTGTTACAAAACAAATTCATGTTTCTCTCCTTAGGCACTTCAGCTAAGCCTTCCTTTGTAGGGGATACTAAAACCCACTGCTGGCATCAGTGGGATTCCCAGCCTCCTGATGGAGGCTGTGCTGCCAAGGTAGGGCAGAACTGCAGCAGTTGTGGAAAGCCAGACCTTATAGGAGATGTCATATCTGTGCTTTGTATTGAACAGGGTACCAAAACCACACTAAAAAAAAGGCCAAATTTGGCAAAGATACATACCACTTAATTTCTGTTAAAAGAAAGGAGTTATCTTTGTGCTTAACAACTACAAACATAGCAAACCATGTTATATGTATATCTAATAGTCCAGGTTGTCAGGGGGCACAAGTGAACATTAGACACTTGTCAGAGTGTCAGAACTTGTCAGAATAATTTTGTTGGTCTAACAGGATCTGAGCTTTGATTCTATGACCAGTCAGCCTCTCTCTTAGGTGAGTATTGTGAAGGGGGAATCTGGTTCCTTATCCAGTTTGGCCTCAAGAACATTATGACTGGAAAGGAGAGATTTGTTGGGGAATGGAACCTCTTTATATGAATAGGAAATTGTGCTTGAATTCACTTTGTGTCCTCTTGGTCCTGGATGCCTCTGGTGCATTACCACTAGAGTTTTTTAATTTTTTGTAAGTGCTCAGGTATCATTTAAATTGTTACTCTATAACCTCCTAAGAAGATACGTGGAGGGACAGATTATCCATATGTTTTAATCTTATAATTCACCATTTGATTCTGTCCAACTGATGCCAAACTGACTTCTGCCATTTTGTTTTTATATATATTTTTATATATATTTCTAGCTCTGTAGCCTGTTATTGTATAACCACATAGATTCATAGCTAGCTTTTCGCTGACTATGTTACATAGAAATGCAAAACACAGTCCTAAAACCTCCAATACTAATCTTGCTTCCACTGGGAACCAAGGTTAAAACAGCTTCTCAAGACACTTTTTCATAAACAAAGTTTAGTTAGTATCTAAAGGGAGAGTTTTAGAGAAGAGTTGAACCAAAGGGGGATAATCTCATCACCTGTGTCTCTTATTGGGGATTCTTGTCAGTTGTGCTAACTTGCTAAACATATAAAATCGTGCCTGCTATATGTTACAGTGTGCATTTTTGGTGTATATTTGGTGTGTATTTCAGAGTGTTGTGTACCATAAAGAACCTTTATAAAGATAACTGCATTTTATCACCTAACTGTGTCTGGCTCCTGATTTTAGAACCAGAAAAAGCTATCACAATTATGCTTACACTGAAACTACTGTGAAGTTTTGCAGTAAATCTAGCATTGTAATATGAATAGTTAGATACTATTACTTCTCTGGATGTGACTAGTGAAAAGAATTACAGAAGAATAATTGTCTATAATTTTTCTCAGAGATCATATGGTAATAATGTTTCATTTTATCCCAAAATTATAAAGTGCAATACATTTATCCCCAGCATATTGTTGTCATTTGGGGTTTTTTAATATGTGTATCATAAAAAGTAGCACATTAAATATGCCTAATATACATGTTCATTATTGTTCCAAAGAAAAAATTCAGCTGAATCACTGGTGAGTGAGTATAACTGTTAACTCTAAAAATACAGGGGTGTTCAAGTAAGTTATATATAGGACAACCACCTATGAATTATAACTAGCAAGGTTTTATAAAAGACAACACATGAAAATAATGAATTTGTATTTACTAGCAAATTATGGACATTACCACAGAAGTGGGTAAAAGGTTCACTTTAAAATAAAATTCTCTAGGTTTTTTAATTAAAATCTTAGAACTTTGGTAATTCTCCATGCCCACTTTTTATTTCACCATTCAAGCATCACTAAGTAGGCTTCTGTGCACTTCAGTTGGAATAATAACACCATAAGACATAAGACATACACAGCCTCTACTATAATTCTGCTATGCATATTGTAGGCTGAGCTCTGCTCGCTAATGTCTAGCTTCCCCAGTGAAACTTAATGTAGGAATTTTCCACTAAAATTATTTTTAAGTTTCACTTAAAACATACCTATCCACTTTGAAAGTTGTTCTTACACACTGCAATTTTTATTAAGTAATTTATAATTTGAACTGCAATATTACATGGGAACTCAGCTGCAGGTAGATCCCACCACACTTCCCACTGATAATCATAGATGCAAAAAGAAGCTTTGCCCCGAGGAATTTTAAAAATAAGGTTTTTTTCTCTATTCTCATTGGTGAAGTTTTCCTCTATATGCTGATCTGAGAATTTCTTAGCTTGCAAAAATGGACATGAAATTATAACAGTATAGAGAAATATAATTCAGAAATATTAGCTCAAATGACAAAGAGTAAAAGGATATGAGACATACAAGGGATAGCTCATGACAATTTATCACCTTGCATGTGGAATGCAGTCCCAAGAAAAATGGTACATCTTCAAAACCAAAAAAAAAAATCACAGAATACTGGATAACAAACCATGCTGAGCCAGGTACAGATGCAAAAGTTATTCTCTGGTTTTTTAGGTAATTTTAATCTCTGGAGTCTTGAATTTGCTATGTTTTATTTATGGAAATACTTATGGCAATATTTATGGTAATTTCAATTCATCAGCAAAAATAGACAGTGCACACAAGCCAGTAAATTCAAAGCTCCACTTTTACACGCAGAAGGACTGTAAGACTTCCATGGTCTGCTTCCAAAAGAAAGATGTTAATATTATAGGAAAATTATAGACGCTTATACACTCTACAATTAAACAATGTCCTATAGAAGAATATATATCAGCTCTAAACTATTTCTAGTGATAAGTTATACAGATGATATATTGGTTAAAGAAAATTAAGAATTTCAGAGTTATAGCTTGAAGATCAGAGACCTTATTCAAATGTCAGAGCATGATTGTTTCTTGGCTCTGTCAGATAATATTTCTCACAGAAGTACAACGAGAACAAGGATTCTTGGTTAAAACCTTTCTGTTGAGTTATGAAAGGTATTTAGAAATTAAAGGCTGTCCTTGTTTATTTTTGAAAAAATATCAATATGGCTGTTTACTCATTAGTATTAGATATATTATCTTTGTCATGACTCTCAAAGGTTTTTCTCATAGGCATTTCATACAATAGATAGAAGTATCTTTATAAACCCTTCTTTTTCAGCAAATGAAGGCACCCAAAAATTCAGTAAAAGCAAGGGACTGCTATTCCTGCACTTGTGTGTGTAGAGTTCGGATTTCTGTATGTTGTAGATGGAGATCAAGACGCAAAGCCTTTTTAAAGGAAATTACCCACAGAACACCTACCTTGCATAGACCACCATTGCTGCCTGACACCAGTTCTTTGGTGACATTTATGGAGTGTATGTGTCATATTTGGACGATAGAAGACTGCAAACTTAAAAAAAAAACCCAACCAAACAGAACAATGACATATAGTAAAACACATTATGGCTACTTTAATTACAATTCCTTGAGAAATCTGTCGCCTTAATGCCTACATGTATACTTGCTACATGTTATTTCCATATAGATGACTACGCATTTCAAAATTGCTAAGATTTTTTTTTAGCAACTAGAGGCAGATCAATTTCATATGATTTATTATGCAAAACCACAATGAACAAAGAAAACCAGCAAAGCTGACTTTTGTGTGGTGACTGTGTAGCAGGGAAGTAAAGAGGGTAGTACAGTTTTGAATTTTGCAGATGCCATAATTAATTTAGTTAGCTCTTTGAGCTTCATTATTAAATTTAACCACATACTTATATGATGAAAGTGTACACTACTTCAGGCTGTCATTTTTTGCCAAGGCCTCCCCCAGTAATGCATACCATGTAACAATTTCATTAATGTTAGTAAGAATCATCAACTTGGAAATACCCCAATGAGAGTAAATTAGTTCACTAAGATGCATTTATTACTGTAAATTAATGCAATATATATTAGCATTAGCAGATTCAACAGTTACACAAGAAAGGAACAACAGTGAGCATCAAGTCATTAGATTGCCTTAAAGAGAAAAGAGCTTGAACTGAAAAATCTGTCATTGAATAACCTAAGTGTTATTAATGTCTAACTGCCAGACTTCGAGTTCATTTATTTTAATAAGGGGTTGTTTTAGCAAGACTTGGCTATGTATTTTGATTCAAAGAATTGCCCAAGTTTTACACTGCGGAGATGACCTGAAAAACAGATAGAGATAAGGACAACAATGTTTCTGTCATAATATTTAAACTATAGTTCACTATACCTATTCCTATGGATGTCATTGAGATCATGTCCTACTAGAAAGGTAATGTCTTGTGTTGTTATACCTTTGTTGTTACATTTCAGCCTCCACAAGATTTGGAACTGCTTGCCTAAAGCTTCAGCGTGGTGAAACATCTTGGTAGCAGCTTACATTATGCCTATAGCTCCCAGTGAAAGTTTTGTTCCAGGTCTCATATTTGTGAAGCACTGTGATACAATCACAGACTTAAGCACATATTTTATTGAATTCTCAAGAAAACGTCAAAGGTATATATACTAGATAATGTATTTAACTTCTAGCTGAGTTGTCAATCAATGAGGTTGTTGTCTGGGGATGCCCCAAGCCTATATATCTTTCTGAGGTTTGCAGGGGACAAATTTAAGTCTCTGGGTACAATCATTGCCACAGCCTGGTCATCTAGTCTGCTGCTTTTGCAAAGCTAAGTCAGTACTATATAAAAGAAAAAAAAAAAATGTATCAATCTACTAATATCTTCCTTAATTCTTTGGAAATTTTCTCCACTAGTGTTTATTTAGAGTTAGTTTGGTACCCTTGTCAGAGCAAGGTCATTTAATACAAGGCAGAAAGCAGAATATGTTTTTTTGCTTATTTAAATATCTACTATTAATGTCTGTGAGTATGGTAAAATTCCTGCTGTGTCTTTTTAAAAGTCTACCTCACAAATCATATCTTCACTTTAGCTCAGTAAATTGCAGCCACTTTCTACTGCAATTGAAATAATTGTATAACTAAAATCAAATGTTCACTTATTTCTTCAAAGCTGTTTTTCATAGAGAAGATTTAAGTTCAGAGTCAGACTGATGAAGAGTAAAGAGGATGTTCTTTGCAATGGTAACCAGGTAATTGTTCTTTACTGGCTTTCCTCAAATGGAAATAGAAGCCATTCGCAGATCAAAATGAAAGATGTGTGTCTTGTTTCCCAGTTATGCAAGAATGTTCATGACCCATGTAAAATGTGTTACAAAATATGGGAAGTCCACAATTTTTCAAGGAAATTTTCAAAAGAAAAGGATTTCACAACGTGTATATTCTGCTGTCCAAAAGGCATATTAATTGCCTCAAAATACTATTTTCTTCCTGTTTGAGACAGAAATTGTGATGCAAAATCTTGATCTATTTTATGTTTTAAATTCTTATGGGTACTTTGAAGATTTTTGCCCCTTTCTACAGAAATTTTTCTTCTATTTCTTTTCCCTAGAAATCAATACTTATCTTTATTTTGAACATTTATAGGGTTTTTTTCAAAGTCAAATAGGTCTTGCTTATTTGTCATTCAGGATGATATTCCCCTAAAAGCTGGTTAATGCAAAGATTCAAAAAAATAGCTCATTTTCCTTATTACCCAATCCTGAAAAATAATGACTGTACAGGGAAGAAGGAAAATAAGAAGACTACAGTTTTCAGAATGTAAAAATCAGCGATTAATTTGTGCAGAGGCCTGCCACTATTTCAGCGGGAAAGCAATGAGGGCTGTATGTGAGAAGTGAACCTACATCTTTTTTGAGAGTTCAGAGTACTGAGTATCCAACTCAATCAACAATCTGTGTAAACAGAATTTGGTTTTATATATGATTTTTTAAAATAGAAAACCATAATCTCTTGCTAAAAAGAAAAGCAGTGACTTTAGAAGACTGATGGTAAAATGTTGATTTCTAAGGTTTAATATAGTTGAAAATATTTTGTTAGAAGCAATGATTAATGTGTTCAGAATTTTCTCTGCAGGGCATATTCTGCTTTAAATGAAAGAAGTCAGACTTGTGAGAACCTGTCTCTATGGATTTCAACAAAGAAGGCTTCCTCCCTGCTGCTTCATGAAATTACTGTAAATTGCTCTTCAGTTGATAGTGGCTTCAAGCTATCACAAAACATTTAGAAAATATGATCCACTCATTCAGTGTCATTATTACACGCTGTTTGAATAGGTGTCTAGAAAGTAAAGAGAAAATAAAGAGGTGAG